GCAGCCTTTTGTCACTTATCATGGTCTGGACTCACCTGGGAAGGACGGTCTTAATGATCGATGTCTAGATTGTGTTGAGCCGGTGAGTTGATGTTTAGGAAAAAAAAAAAATCTTGATTACATTAGTTGAGGTAGGAAGACCCTGCCTGGGATCCTAGGCTGTAGAGTGAGCTGAGTACCAGTATACATTTATTACTTGCGCTTTGTTTTTGATATAATGTGACCAGCTCTCTTGAGCCTGTCACTGTACTTCCCCATAGTGGTAGACTTGGACCTGGAACAGTGAGCCAGAATGAGCCTCTTAGATCTGAGTTGTTTTGTCAAGGTGTTCTACAGTAGTTTCAAGTGAAGACATTAAGTAGTAGTCAGTCGCTATACTTTCTCAGTGAGTGCCTTAGCGCAGTTGACAGGAATCCAGATGGATGTAAAAAGGTCCTTGTTCACTAGTTTGTCCCCAAAGTTTTGAAGTCTTTGTGTGGGAAAAAACCTTGGCCTGTGGTCATCTAGACTAGAATGTTTTTCTACATCTGTTAGGTGTGATGACTGGAAGTCTGTTTTTAGACTCACTGCAGGAGGGCAGGGCACTTAAATGGAATAGTAGTGTTATCAGGCAACATCTCTCATATTTCAGTCATGTAAAACAGGTTTTTATTTGGGCAAAGTTAGAAAAATATCCCATCACAAGGGAGTAACATTTTCTTACAGCAGGACAAAGCCTGTTCTCAGTGGTTTTATACTACTTAATACATTATCTGTCCCAACAGGTTTCCCAAGGTTTTTCCTTTTTACCTACCCAATGGGTGAGAGGCCCATTTGGATTAACTCTTAAAGGACAGTGATACATCTGTTCTTTACCAAAAAGTCAGAGCCAGAAATAAGACTCAGGTCCCTTCTTTGAGAATTCTATGCATATGTATATGTAGAATGTGTTGATCAAGGGCACACACCTGACCACTCCCACCCCCCAATCTCTACCACTATTCCCTCTAAATTACATGTTTTGGGATTGGTTTGGTTTTGTTTTCCTTTTAAACTCACTGTGTTCACTTAGTACTTACATCACTGTGTGCTGAATGTGGGGATAGAGCCTCTATCTACTGGAGCATCGGTGGCCTCTCAGTGGTTGCATTCATATATATATGTATGTGTGTATATACACACACACACACACACACACACACACACATATATATATATCTCCAAGTCTAATGAAAACAAACATTTATAGACAATATTTGGGAATTTGGGCGTTGTTCTTTCCAAACTACTTCCTGCTGGTAAGGGGCGCTGTCATGGAGGATTCAAAGAAGATTCAGAAATCCCGGCTGTAGTCTGTAAGGCTGCTTTGTCCAGCTGTTTTGAATGTAGGATCACCTGGTACTCTGTTTCAGGCGGTCTGGCTTGATCAAACCACATCAGTCTGGAAGGAATCCACAGCTTTTCATTTTCTGTGGAAACAAAAATAGAAATCCTTTTCCCCAGTAATTTGTCCTTCAACTTAAATTTTGGAGTCAAAGCATTTTTTTTATTTAATTTATTATTTTACATGTCGATCCCAATTCCCTCTCCCTCCCTCCCTTCTTCCCTCCCTCTCTCCCTTTTACCCTCTCTGCCCTCTCACATGCACTCTAACCACCCTCCCCTCCCATCCCCCCACCCCAATTCCATATGTAGGGGAATGCCATCCAGTTGGGGTCATGTAGGTCTGACAGGTTATCCCTCCATGGGGAAAGAAACCATCCTGAATGAGGTAACCCAGTCACAAAAAGAGGAACATAGTATGTACTCACTCATATATGGATTTTAGACATAGAGCAAAGGATCACCAGCCTATAATTCACACCACCAGAGGAACTAGGATACAAGGTGTATTCTAAGAGATTCATATAAAGTCCCTCACGGAACCGGGAAGAGACCCCCCCAGAGTACAGGGGAAGTGGGGGGAGCAGCGAATGGAGAGAGAAGTAGGAGAAAATGAGGGGGAGGAAAGGTAAACACATGCAACCAGGAAGATTGAGCCCGATTAGGAATAGAAGACAGGAAAAAGAGATAGAACATAAAAGAGGGAGCCAATATTGGTTTGAAGATAAAGTTGAACACAAAGAAAGGTCTAGAGAACTACAAGACTGCTGCCAACTAACAATTTGAGCTTCTGTGGAAAGGCTACTTTAAATGCCCTTCACAGAGAGTGAGATCAACAACTAACTTCTCCATGGAGCCCTCAACTAATGCCTGTTGGAAACAGGAGCAAACACCCATACATAAACACTGAGTCGAACTAGAACCCAGATGCAGATGGAGAGGACAAGACCATGCTGCAGAAACACATAGAGACAGCTGACCTGAACAAGGAGGAGCTAAAGGCCACCAGACTGATAGCTGGGAAGCCAGCATGGGACTGACTCCGGCTCCCCTGAATATGGGTCTCAGCCAGAAGGACTGAGTAGTCTAAAGGACCACAGACAGTGGAGCCAGGATGTATCCCTGGTGCACAAAAGGACCTTGCAGTGGTTGCATTCTTAAAACTGTTAACCCCCTCTTCCCTTTAGCAGTCAATTGCCAATAGCTTCTCAGCTAGGGTGGGGCTTGTGGTCAGTATTATTTGGGGGGGGAGAGGGGGGATTGTAAACATATACTAAAAACAAAGAATAAAAAACTAAATCTCTACAAGTAGCCAGTAAGTTCCAGGGGATCCAGCGCACACTTCTGACTTCAGTGGGCAGTAGGCACGTGTGTAGTACACACACCTACAAATGGGAAACACCCATACACATAAATAAAATTTAAATTTAGGAAAATAACCATGGATTCCCAGGAGCAATTATCCCAATCCTCTTAAGCTTCACAACAAACTCCTGGTGCCACTTTCCTCCTTCTCGTTCTGTATTGTAAACCTCAAGAAACCATTGTAATGCCTTTACCCATTACTGTTTCTAATTTGCCCAAAACTAATTATGATGGAGGGGTCCTGCTTGGGTTGACCTTCAAGCCAAGAGCTTAATTTAAACTAGCTTACTAACAGTTTCACATATTCTCCAGAGTCATGTGCTGATAACTGTGCATGCAACATAATCCCTTATTCTGGCTGATACAACAAAACCATAGGTTACCAGGATTTTAGAAATCACAATAGAGTTAAATATGTTCTCACTGTAAACTGGTCATGACAGTCTTGTGAGCTCCTTGGAATATTGTAGGTTTATAAGTGGGAAAGAAATCTAAACTCATTAGCTAAAATTTAAATATGACTCATTATCATTTTAACAAGCTTAATTATCTCTCTATAAAAAAAAAAAAAAACATGTAAATCTCGAGGCAGTGGTGTATGCCTTTAATCCCAGCACTTGGAAGACAGAGGCAGGCAGATCTCTGCGAGTTCTACAACAGCTAGTTCCAGTACAACCTCCAAGCCACAGAGAAATGCTGTCTTGAAAAACAAAACAAAAAAATTCATGTAGGCAAACTTCATGGCAAATTTTAACTGTTGTTGAAAATAATTCTTCAAGATGTCAACCAGACATCTCCACAAGGTTTGTGTTTTCTAACATCCCACTCATTAGACTGTCTTATTGGCCAACATGGAAGAGTAATGGGTTAATTTTTCTTTCTGATCAAACTGAGCTGTTGCTATTTTAGCTAGTGTGCTTATATAAGGTTAATATTTGAAAATATTTTATTCCTTGATAATTTCATACACATACACAAAATGTTTTGGACATATTCCCCACCAATTCCCTTATTCTCCGATTCCCTCCAGAACCCATCTTCCCAACACCTACTTTTGTGTCTTTTGTTTGTTTTCAAATACACTGAGTTTAGTTAGATTTGCTTGCATAGGAGTGGTTGTGGGTCTGTTTACTGGATCATGAACAACTTACCAGTAGCTACAGCCTGAAAAGCTGGCTTCCCCTCTCCTGGTCATTAACTGCCAATAGTTTTTCCCACAAGATGGGAACTCTTGTGCTTGATCTTGTGTAGATAACCCACAACTGTGCATTCATTTGTGCAACAGTAATGTCCAGAAGATCATTTCATAGCACTCCTTCCCATCTTGAGCCTTGTATACTCTATCCACACACTCTCCCTTGATTCTCCCTAAGGCTAAGGGAGGGAACTGTTCTAATTTTTTTATTTTCAATTATTTGGTGAAGTAGTTAAACAACTAAGCTTAGTTGGTGTGTTAATGCATGTATATATGTACATGTTCATGCATGTGTGTGTGGTACTCAGGGAAACGGTTCTTGAACAAATGAGGCAAGAGTCCTACCATACAGCCAAGTTTTCGTCCTTTTTTTATTGAAGGAAGCTGTAATACCCAGGCTCTGCCTAAAACCTTGTAATGCTGCTGAACTTTTCTTAAAGGGATTGGGGTAGAGAGTTGGGGAGACTATGTCCTCATTTGTTAGACTTACATGTTTATTCAGTAGAACTGGAGTTATTAAAGTGTCATTGGTATTTTATGTATTCCTTGATCACTTACAAGTCATGATGCACTTTGTTTCTTTACCTGACTTCTAATTTTTGTAGGATTTCCCCCTCATAATCAAATTTATTTTCAGCATAGTTTTTATCAAAATATAGACATTTAAACAACAGCTTGATGAGATTTGGTAAATGCATACAGCTTTTTTAACTAACACTTAGCTGGAGGTATGGAAAATACCATTTATCCCAGAAGACTTCCCCTTAGATTAGTTTGACTTTATGGAATCATTGATACCCAACATTTTGCTCAGCAAGATCTGCCAATAATGTTGGGTGTTTAGCAGTTCTTTTATTTTCAGCAGTATCCCACTGTATGTACCACAATGAATTCAATTATCTGTCCACGAACACTTGGGTTGCTTCCAGTTTCACTTTCACTGAATATGCATACAAGAGTTTGAAAAAAAAACTGCAGGTAAATAAGGTGGATGTGAAATTATGGTTTTAGAATATCCTGGCTTTTTGGAATCATCAGAGAAAAAGACATGTCTTCAGACTCTCAGCAGTCTGTCTTTGAGCAAGACCTCCCTCCAACAGTTTCATGCTCAAACATTCTGCAGTACTGTTAGTGATAAAATTACTTGACAGAAACTTCATAACACATCTCTCAGTGTCCCTGCTGCTGCTTGAATCATGAAAGCTGCAATAGAAATATGTTTCTTCACTTCTGCCCAGGCCAAGTGAGGGTCTGCTCTATTCTCAATATCAAACATGGCATCATAAATCCCAGGGAAAGATTCTCCAGCATATTTGTTGTGGCTACTTGGAGCAAAGATGATGTGCCTAAACAAACAAACAAAAATTGCCTATTTTTAAAACAATTGAAAAATTGCAGATGTCATTGCTACATTTATCTTAGAAGTTGTTGGGCACCTTACAAGTCTGCAATATGTCATACAGTCATTCTTCAAAATCTCTACAATAATACAGTAGCATTCTAGAACACTGCAACAGACTGAAACAGCAATATGAACTACTTTAGTGTTCGAATGTCTAAATATTAATAGGGCAAAGGCAGTTTTAAGATAGTGGGTTTGGAGGACATTCTCATCAAGTTTTGGCTCTAAATCCCAGGACCTGATTCTAGAGATATTACTATTTATAAATGTTCAAATACAACACAAGGACACTTTGTTTGGGGAGGGGGGCTCAAAACAGAGTTTCTCTGTGGCTTTAGAGCCTGTCCTGGAACTAGCTTTTGTAGACCAGTCTGGTCTCAATTCACAGAGATCCATCTGCCTCTGCCTCCCAAGTGCTGGGATTAAAGGCATTTGCCACCAGCTGGCATCACAAGGACATCTTAAGGAAGTGTGTTTCATAATTGATGAGAGAAGCTCATCTAACAAATGTCAGTAATGTCATTAAAACTATAAATGAAAGCCAAACAATGGCATACTATATAGGGAATTAAAGTGCTAAAACCTATGCTGATGTCAACAGACGGATTCTTGAAAAAAAAAAAACTTGTAAAATAAGGTATGGCTTCATTTATATAAATATAAATGTTTCTGTCTAAAGACCTATGTGTATGTATAATATATAAATGTACACATTTACATGTAAATTTATCCCCATAAATATGTGTATACAATTACATGTAAACGTGCATACAAAGTAGACATTTATATATATACACATTACATAACTGAATTTCTCTGAGATAGGCAGAACTAGAGGTGTGACTGAGGAGGGAACTGATGAAGTTGAGCTGTGTCTAGACTCATGCTTCCGAGTCTGAAAGTTTCACAAAGTACAGATGTTTGCAGTCTAAAAAGTAATTCTCAAGGATCAATGCACTAATAACTTTCGAGAAAAGACTAAAATTCTGGATATGTCTTGCTTGTTATGCACATCAAGAAAAGGCTAAAATTCTGGATATTTCTTGCTTGTTACGCACATGCGCGTGTACACACACACATTCATAACTGATATCTAAGTTATTTCTATGAATAGACAACATTTATAAATATAGCTCACATTCCAGAGTGCCTTCCTCAGTGATAAACAGCTAAAATCTCCATTTGTAGCTGAGAAAGCCAAGGTTTAGAAAAATAATTTCCCAGGGAAAGATCTGTGTTCTTAAAATTCTGTTCCTGTCACTTGAATGTTAGTCCTAACCACTAACATTTAGAAAGGTGATAGCCAGCTTTGTAACGTAGCATTTAGTATGATAATTCAGACAGGTAAATCCTACATCACAGAGCGCTGAAATGCACTCAGTCCTACATCTACATGAACACAAAGATTTTTTTCTGACTTTTAAGGACCATCTTAATTTCCATCAAGAAACCATTTAAAATAGTTTTTAGATTTATTTACATTGTTATGTGAATAAATGCTTTGCCTAGGTGTATATATGTGTGCCACGTTCATGCCTGCTGTCTACAGAGTTCAGAAGAGACCGGCATATCTGAGTTACAAATGGTTGTAAGCCACCTTGTAGGTGCTGAGAATCAACCCTGAAACCTCTTAAAAAGCAATAATTGCCCTCACTCACTAAGCCATCCACAAGGAACCCTTTTTTAAAGGACCTTGAGAAAATGGACTTTGAGAGCTAATAACTCTAAGATACTAAAAGAAAATATGACATAGATTAAAAAAAAAAAAAACAGTAACCTTGAAGCAAAGCAATAGTTCTTTTAAGGGACATGCAGCCATCTTAACAACTTATATCTTTAGATGGAATGAAACTAAATTTAAGTATAGTAAGCGAAACTTACTTTACTTGAAAAGAAAGATCAGGTCAGATGAGAATATTACAGGATAAAAGACTTGAGATCATTATGAAGGAGACTTTCTAGTAATTACACCTTTACATATAATAGAAGGGCTTCTTCATGGAGCAGTAAGCTCTCCATCACTGAGTCTGAAACAGACTGAATCCTTACCTGAGAGCATGCAGGAAGGATTCGTTAGACTTTGAGTGCATGTGCTTTAAGATCCCTTTATGTATTTGGAATATTGTGTTTCTCAGTTTGGCATACCATAAAGAACTAATTGATATGAAACGTATTCTCTGATACTACACATTACACCATTACTGGATACATAATCTTACCTATGTTACATTTAGCATTTATATTAAACTTAGTATATTTAGTATGTTGTCATCTTCCACTCCTGTGATGGCATTAGTTTAAATCATTTTTGATATTCTTCTTTGACTCCAGTGATGTGGTTGGTGCCCTCTGTGGAGCACCCATCTTGCCTTACCTGTAGAACTGCCTCCCAGGTAAACCAAGGGGATCTATGAATGCTCTTTCCAGAAGCATCAGTTGGTCGTTCATAATTCTCACTGCAATAGGACTTGGAGAATAAAAACTCATCATCAAAATCTCTACTAGAAGGCCACAATTAAACTAGTATTAAATACAGATAATGCATGGGAAGATAAATAAAATAATCAATAAACCCTTAACAGAAATAATGTTAACAGTAATATGTTACACAGCAAGCAACATATAACAGTAGGATCATCTTACTAGCATTTATAATAGACATAGGATGCTACTCAGAAATGGTTAGCTTTGTTTTTCAAGGCCACAGAGTACTCAAAAAGAAGTAAAAGATAGTGTTTACTTCTCTGTAGAATAACCAGGCCTCCCTGCAAGTTATTCCTTATGACTCACACAGCCCCACTGTGGAAGAAACAGAATAAAGATAAGCCACAACAAAGAGTAAAGTCTGAAGTCTGTGAAAAGAGCAGGGGCAACTTCACACAATAATCAGGGGAGGTTTTTTCCCTTTCACAATCCATATACTGCTTTTTATGTAGCTGAACTGCACACATCTTTGGGCTCTCCCACAGTCCAAGGGACAAGAGAACCTCCTCAAAATGACTGACACAGCCTGCTGATTAAATCTAAAAAAAAAAAAAAAGTATACTTTGGTGCAATTTACATTTATTGTATAATATTGTAATATAATTTTAAAATTATTTTCTACCTAAAAGTCACAATAACATAAAAAAATTCCAGAAAAAAAATCTATACAAAAGAAGTGGTAGATGGATAAATAGGAGTGTTGAGAAGGACTCTACAGAAATATATTCAAAAGCGCCTAAGCTTATAGAGTTATGAATTTTCAACTGTAACTCTCATCATACAAGCTATACTTTAATGTTAGTGTAAATCATCTACAGTGTCACTAGAAACAGAACTCTGAAAGACCTGGTTATTGTAGAAGAAGCCGTGAACTTGAAAATGAAGAGAAGGAAGAGGACAACAGAGGAGTTAAGGGAGTAGTTAGAAATGATGTGTTTGAGAAAAGACATCTCTAAACATGTCTTTCTGCTTTCTAAGCTGGCAATTGTTGCTGATGCTGCTGTTGTACAGACAAAGGCTTAAGAAGCAATGACTTAGCATTCTACACACGGGTGGGGGAAGACAATCTGCCCTTCTGAGAGTAGGCACCTGAAACTTACTTAGTAAGATCAACTTGTGTGAGTCTTCTATGAAAATCTGAAGCAGCCTCTGAAAAGTTTGTCACAGCAGAAAATAAGGCATCTTTTTAAAAAATAGAAAAATAAAATAATTTAGTGGTTCACATTTCAGATATTCATATTACTGTCCTCTCCCTAAAAGAATCAAACAAGTAGGGTAACCATTATTCTAAGGACCCTTCTTGTGGATACATGAAAGAGTATTGGGGGGAAAAAGATGGGAATTTGAAATGTAGTCAAATTGTGTTTTTAAGTGTCCGTGTGTGTGTCCATGTCCGTATGTGTGTCCATGTCTCGTGTGTGTGTGTGTGTGTGTGTGTGTGTGTGGTCCTGGTACCTATGGAGGTCAGAAGAGGGGGTAAGATCTCTTGGAGCTGGAATTACAGGTATTTATGATCCACAAATTACAGGGATTTATGACCCACATGACACGAGTCTTGAGATCCTAACTCCTGTCCTCATGACAGACCAGAAAGTGCTTTTAACCACTGAATCATCTCTTTATTACTCCCCTAAATTGGTTCTTAAGAGAATTATCTTTCACAAGTACAGGGAATAAATATTTCTTCAATTATGTACCCAAACCCCAGCATTCATTGAATATATTGATTGAACAATTAGGATATATTAGATTCTGGAGAATATATATGTATGATACTATTTCTGTAATTATTATAGGATTAAGACAATACTAATTTTTATTTTCAAATAATGGTATATTAACATCTTTTTCAAAGGGTGACTTGTGACAAATTAATATATCTAGACTGAGACACAGTATGAGGTTGGGTCTGGTCATACTTTTTTTTTATTTCATGTTTTTAAAAAATATAACTAAATTCTCAGCACACATTTTTTGTTACAACAACCTATTTCCCATGTTTATGTGTCCTAAGCAGGACTTGACATATATGATTGACTTACTGCTTGCATTTGGATCTGTTTTGCAGATCAAGTACTTGTAGCTCAGATCACATAACTTTACTGTATTAGCTGTCAAAGAGGTGGATCCTTCAATATAAATACATTTAGTATTTTCAAAAAAGTCCTTTTAGACCTCAACTTTTCCAAGCTTTGTTTAAAACATGTTCAAAGCAAATAATCTAATAATGGGTAAGAGTGTTTTGAAGAAGGAAGTTTAAATTTCAATATAATACAGAAATCAAGATAAAAACAACTATGTCACTAGGGTTCAGTGACACTGGTCATGATAACATCACAAAGAACCACAAAGAACATTTCTGGTCAGTAGTAGTGATCTATGAGCACAGTGAATTGTATAGTGGAAGATAAAGAGCTGGGAGTATAGATTATGTATCACTAGTAGATTGATTCATCCATTCACTCATCATGCTCACATTCTTCATTGACACATCTTCTGATTAACTATTGCTTCATGGCACATGGAATTTCAATTGTTAAATACTACTGTTAAGATGGAAGAGATATAAGAATATGCCATCTGATGGACATTCATCAATAGACACAGATATTAAGAACAGCAGAAAATGGCATTAACAGAGAAGACTGGTCCATGAACAGTAAGGAGAAATTAACTTGTCTAAAGAAGGCTCTGCTACTAAGCCTATGTAGCTTCTCTCCTGACTGGATCTCAACCCATACAAATGTAGAAGAGGCATTTCATCAAAAGGTCCTCAAGAACGCCCCACGTGCTGCATAGCTGCACACCTTCTAGCATCTGTCTTGAGAAGGGCCTTGTCTTTTTCTCCAGTTTTATTTCTTCATTCCCCTCATCAAGCAGAGATACTTTCTTTTTTCCTTCTTTCATTTGTTGTTTTATTTTTTCAGGCCATTTTTCTATGTAGCCTAGGCTGACCTAATGCTTGTGATCCTCCTGCCTCAACCTTCTAAATGCTGGGGCTATGCACACCTACATGGCTCGTCTTCATTTTATGTCTAGATTGAAACATCCACATGTGGCAAGATGAGTCAGTGGGCAAAGGCACTTGCTACCATGCTGGATTCAATGCCTGAGAGCCACATAGCAGAAGGAGAGAACCAACTCCCACAAATTGTACTCTGACCTCCATATTTTCATGGAAGCACACCCACAAACAATTACTCTATAGATGTAATTTTTAATTTTAAATGAATAATATACCTTCTATTCTTTATAACTTCACAAAGATTGCTAATCTTTATATAATAATCAAAATAACATTCAAATGCCACTAATGACCAACTCCACCCCTATTCTTTTTGCACCTCTAATAACTTGTCAAATGTATTCGTCGTCTTCTTTCTCACATTAAATTTCAAGCTCCTTGAAAACTTTAATGAATATCACCCTAATATTAGTAATGTACTTGGTACACAGCAGACATTCTATACAAATTTGATTACTTTGGTCTATAGTAAATATATATATATATATGTATGTATGTATGTATGTGTATATATGTATATATATATACATACATACACACACACACATATATATTAGAAAAGAACATATTTACAATTAGTGACAGCAGACAACATTCACTGAGCCAATCACTACTGATCTACATATTCCTAATTATCTCCCCAATAGGGAATGTGTTTTATTGATCCGTGGTTTAAGAAATTGGCAATACGAAAGTTAAGAGTGTTCTAAAAGTCACGGACACTAAGTGGAAGAGAGACTATATGAGTCAGACCAACTGCTTCCAGCTCCAGTGTTTGTGACAGCATTGTGCTGTGTTTCCCCTCTACTTTATAGAAGACACATGGTATGGAGATGCAGTCATAAAAGTAAAGACTGACTATATCTATGCAAAATATCCTTCATGTACACAAAAACTGAAGGATATATTCAGCAATAATAATATGTAATAGAATTTGTGACTATAATTTTTAATATTTGGGAAATATTAGTAATAGTTTTAACATGGAAAAATCTTTACCCAATTCAATGTTTGTAGTACTATTTCATGAGTCATAGACATTTCAGATTAAATAAGACCCCTAAGTCAGTATTTACTTAACTTCTTTATCAGAAAGAATTAGTAAATGGGTGAGGATTTCTTCTAGAATACACTGATCAGGAGATAAGAAAGTATACATTAAAGTCTATAAAATGTCTTACCAAATGACACTCCATGGTTTCTCAGTTGCTGTTCATGTTTCCTGGATAAATTGAAGATACTTCCTGCATAGGTTTTCAATGCTTTTGCATAGTCTTGAATGTTGAAAGGAATGATAACAGAGTCTGCAAGCTCATACACCAATGCTCCTCGTAACTGAGCCACAGAAAGTTGTTTTTTAAATGTGGGATCATAAAAGTTCTCTACTAATTCAAATGTCTCATAGATGGTGTGGTATACAGGATAGCTACTGTATTTATCTGTTTTCTAAAATGGAGAAGGAGTTGAAAAATAAGTGTTACGTGTTCAATTTATGATATTTTAATCATAGAGATGATTAAAGAAAAATATATAACAGCCCTGGTTTCATGAGTTAAGCAAATAAAATTAAAATGTAATTAAAACACTATAGCCAAAATGCTTACTGATGTAAATTTTTATATTCCTGTCGTCATTTTATAATTCATGTAACCTCCATTCAACCTTTTGGTTCTGATAACTAAAGAAAGATGTATTCAAATCAGCACAATTCAAAATTATGAACTGAACAAGTGTATGAAAAGTTCTGGGTAGCTTAGTGCCTAGAGAACAGAAAACAGTAATGCATTCTTTCTCTAACTAAGGAATGCTCAACCAAAGGCTATTAACCCTTGATAATAATTGTGGCAGTATCTGTAATTAACATGTTGCCATGTTACTACCATGTAGAAATAGTTTGAGATCTTTGGTCTGTATATCATAAATTTATTTTTACCATCTGCTATCTACTTATAGGACTATCATGCTTACTACTCTAGATCACTAAAAGCAATCCAGTATCAGTCCCCCTCCTTCTAATTGTGTGTTTCTAATGTACTGTGTTGCTGAATGTTAGACAACTTTCTTTAAACTGGTGACAGAGTGGAAAAGTAAATAGAGTGATAAAGAGCTAAGTCACACTTTCCATGTGCAGTTGACCCATGAACCACACAGGAGTTAGGAAGAACCAATTTAATTTCTTTACCATTGAAAGTACATGTATCAACAAACTACTACTAATATAAAAACACATGTATTTGTATGCTTTATAGTCTATGAGAGGAAAAAAAAATGTGAAACCCATGACAGATTACTTTTTACTACAGTAGGAAACTTACTGGAGTGGTAAAGAACTCAAGCACAGACGATTAGTGTCACGTGGCATTTTAAATATATACTCAAAACAATCATACCACAACTCCACGGGGCAGAATTATAGGATTGTTTTAGTAGTCTTTGTGTCAATTTTATGTAACTATAACTTAATGTAATATCTTTACATTTACTTATATTTCATTGTAATTTAAATGGTACTATATATAATTCTATATATAACTTTGATAAATTTAAATTTCTTGCATTATTTTTACATATTTCATAGCAGTAAACAGTGAATAGATTCATCAGCACATATTTTAGGTAAGAGCTATCTAGTCCTTAAAGTTTTTTTTTATATTTCTAGAGTATTACTGTGTAATCTTTTTAAATTGTAAAACTATCTCAAAAATATTTACATCTAAATGGACTCATACCATTTAAACCCATGTTGTTTGATGGTCAGCTGTAGTAAAAAACAAAATGAGTATTGACATACAGTATACAATGCTCATTCATCTAATTTGCAATATTCTGGAGCTACCTTTGCTTCTTTATCATTGGCTGTTTTGGGGAGAGTCAAATTGACAGCCGGTATGCATTATGTACAAGGAAGATGTTGGTGTATTGTACTTTGGGTTTGAAATTGATTAAAAAGATGTAAAGAAGCCAATATTTGGTTATGAAATAACCCAAGACATGCGCAAAACAACACAGAACATATTCACTGTGTATAAGCACTTGCAAGTCATCAGAATGGTTGAATGACATGATACAAACCTCCCAGTACAGAATAGAAAATGGAAAACTTGTTAATTTGCTACTATGTGAGTGAAACTGAATATGATCAAGACAAATACCATATGAACTTTCTTATTTGGATTACAAAAGTAGAACTGTTGCAGAGTATCTAACTATGTAAAGATGTGTTTCTCCTCGCCTGCCTTAGGAGCCTGATTGATCTAACAAAAAGATGAATGGACAATAAAAAAAAATAGGAAGAAATTAAAATTTGAGAGGAACTTGCTTTGTTTCCTGCCCACTCATGATAGACAGGAATAGGAATATGTGGAAGGGTAACTGATACCACACAACCCGAGCCCAGCATGCCCCTCAACAAAAACATTCCCTCTAAGAAAATAACATACACTGTCTATACAACTAGACCACAAAATAAAATTTTATTTACTTACTGTTTTATTTAATTTGAGTGAGAACCTGGCTAGCCCAAGCTGATCTCAAACTCTCTATGTGACCAGGGTAGACCTTGAATTTCTGTTCCACTTAGTTTCAGTCCAAGTACAGGGATTATAGGGATATCCTACCACATGCCATTTTAGGGAAAGGAACCCAGGACTTCATGCATCCTAGGTAAGCACTCTATCAACTGAGCTATATCCCTAGAACAAAATTAGATTTTTCCAAAAAGTTCTGTTTTGAGAAAAGGATACAATTGGTTAATATGTACAACCAACTATGCATCCAGCATTTCTACACAAACTACCATTTCAATAAAAAACCTTGGTAGTAATGCATTCACAGAACAGCCCCTATCCCTTCATGGTGTATCTACAAAGGAACAGGAACAAGCAGACAGAATGTCTGTATCCCTGAACTCTTCTTAGGTCTCAGGCCAACCTACTAACTGATGCATACAATTCAATTACAGTTCATATTAAAGAAAGTTGCTATGTCTTGAACCTGAAACCCCCGTCCAGAGACATATACAAAGACTGGTAAGATCAAGCTTGTATTCTCAGTGGGGCACTCTTAAAGGTAGTAGAACAATTTGAGGAAGTGTTACAGGAAAATGGATGGAGCTTGAGCTCATCATATTAATAAGTCATACGGAGAATAATAAATATAGTACGTTTTCTCTATTTACAGAATCTACATATCTAAATTTAAAACAAAAGATGTGAGAGTAAATGGAGGACTATTTGAAAGAGGACAAAAACTGCAGGAAGAAGTATGAGAGGGTGCAGAAAGTACAAGGGGAAGATAAGTGTCATTAAAGTTCATTGTATACACACATGAAAATGTCATAATGAAACACACTATTTCATAACTAAAAACAAAGACCCAAAGAAAGAGGTACTGGGAAATTCCTTTGAAGGGGAAGTGGCAACCCAGGCCCTTCTAATCTCTCTTTGCTTTCTGGTTACCCTAGAGTGAGCAGCTTTCCTCACCACAACCCCACAAGAACTGGGACAAATATAATAGGCTGAGACCTTTGAATCCATGAATCCAAATAATCTGGGTACAGTAATGAAGAGTGAACCAATATACTGCATATGAAAATTTACTAAATGGCTTACCCTGTTCTTAGTGTAGCGTGCTCTGCCTGAAGCAATTCCAAGCCTTTGAAAATAAGCCTCAAAATCACTTCCAGATCCCAGCTTATTGATTCTAGACATAAAATATTAATAAATAAGTATGTTCATAAAATAATAAATAATACGAAGTCAACAAGATGGGAAAATGAATCCTGCTCCAAGAATAGCTAAGAATTTGCATGCCAAATTGTTATAAGAATAAAAATAGATAAACAATCTTCAATCTATTCTCCTATTGTTTACTAGAATACTAAAATATTAATGTTATAGGCTACATTGAATATGATTCCAGTTTGTCAGTATTACAGAACACGGCAACCTAATGTTTTTAAAATAACATAGGCCACCTCCAGGTACTTATAGGAAGAGCCTACTTTTCTGCTGAATAAGCATATGAAAATTTATAATGGAAAAACACATTTAAAGTTTTGCAAGACTAATTTGAGGGCTAGCAAAATGGCTTAGCGAATAATGACTCTTGCCAACAAACCTGACAAACTGAGTTTGATATTGGGACCCACATGCAAAAAGGAGGGTATATGAATGACAACACACACACACACACACACACACACATACACACACACATACACACACACACACATACACACACACATGTCAACATAAATAACATCCTTCTCCAGGGTATAGCCCAACACAAATTAATAAAAGAAGTCCACATTCCCAGATCTCATTACAAAAATATAAATAAAATTACATAATATCAATACATTAAACTCCACACACAGAATAATCCACCAGCTCTAGATAAATGTCTGCCAATGACAATGAAACTTAAAAATTATAAACATCATCAAAATTTCAAAAGGTTTAAAGAAGCCAAAAAGAAACAGCTCAGTGACTTTTAAGAGGATAAATGTCTGAGTGATGCCCCAGAAAACACAAATGTAAGGCTAATAGAAATGATGGAGACAATCCATAATTTGAAAATAGAATTCAATAAAGAGAAACACTCAAGAGGATGCAAGCTGAAATGAAGATGACATTGAAAAAACCAACAGCCCCAACTAGAAAACTCAAAGGAAAGCCTTACAAGATTTAATCAAATAGAAAATAGAAGATCAGAACTCAAAGATAAAATAGAGAATTTACATGAAATTACTTTTAAAAGGGAACACACAAGAAATGGGAAATACTATAAAAAAAAAATATAAACCTTCAACCTACAGGAATAGACGAGGCAGAAAAATCCCAGGTCAAGTACATATACCAGATCTTCATCCAAACTATAGAAGAAAACTTTTCAAAACAAGAAAAGACATACTCATATTGACACCAGAAGCACACAGAATGCCAAATATACAAGATCAGAAAAGAAAATTCCCATGTTTAGTTAAAACACTAAACATACTTAACAAATAAAGACTACTGAAAGCTATAGGAGAAAAACCACAAGTCACATATAAAGGAAAATTCATCAGAGTAACAGCTGATTTCTCAGTGGAAATTTTTAAAGCTGGAAGAGCCTGGGGCAATGTATTTTGAGTCGCAAAAGACCACAATGGCCAATCTAGACTGATATGTCCAGTAAAACTAGCCATGATAGTTGTCAGAGAATAAAATAAAATTCTCCCATGATATAAACAGACGAAGCAGATAGACACACACACACACACACACACACACACACACACACACACACACACACACACAGATATTTGGATACACACAGAATCCAGAAGAGAGATAATTGGCTGTGAGCTGCATAACATGAGTGCTGGGAACTGAACTTTGATCCTCTGGTAAAGCAGCTATTGGAGAACTGCATGGAGAAGTAAGGAAAAGGGTGAAAACTATATTTATATCTGGGTAGAAAATACATATACATTAATTTACCTAGGACAATCTTTATTTTCAGGTGAAGGGTCTTTTGCCAGCCAACTTTCATAAAGTGATTTACTTTCAAAACCATCATCAGGGCTGGAGATCTGGAAAGACAAACAGTGGACATCAGGAACTGGAGCAAATGTATAACCAGTGTAACCCCATGTGCACATTAGTATCAGCTTCCGTTGCTATCTGTATGTGCATGCATATGTCATGCTCAACTTACCTAAAAATAATATATTTTGAAACTTATAAGAAAACCAAACAACTAGCCCAAGTTGTTCTTCATGTGATAACTGTTGTTAGTAATGTTGCCTATTTTATAAAAGGAATTTCCTTTTTTATTGATAACATCTTAAATGAGTTTTAAATTGTTTCTGGTAAAGATTCTGGAGAAAATGTAGATATATTTTCTTCAATAAATTGTCTTTATCCAAGCAGATGGATCCTACTTTTGCTTGAAAAGAAGTCAATGGTAGTGAGTAAAGTTATTTATATTTTTAAGGTAACATTTAAGCAAAGCTGGATTTTCTTTATGTGAGGAAATGGGAGCCATATGCACTATTACAGTCTTTATGGAAATCAGTGTGGCGTTTTCTCAAAATTAAAAATAGATCTACATGTGATTCGGCTATACCACTCCTAAACATAAACCCCAAAACTATCAATGGAGACCCTTGCAGATTCAGGTTCATTGCTGTTCTCCTCAAAATACCTAGGAAATGGAATCAAACTAGATGGCCATCAAATGAAAAGTAGGTAATGAAACTGTGGTATGTTTATACAATGAAATATTTAGCACCAAAGAAAAATGAAATGGGTAAAATTGGGAGTAAAATTTACTAAAGGTTACTCAGGCCTAGAGAGCCAAATACCACATTCTTTTATTATTATTATTATGTATCATACCTTTTAACTTAACTTTGTATTTAACTTGGAGTATCTGTAATGATCAAAAAATTATAAAGGGGATATATCAATCAGGAAGAGTCCTAAAGATGGGTGGATGGTAGAACTCGTGTGATATGAAAATGAAAGGAAATAGACTACAATTGCAAATTTTAAATGAGAAATGTGGGGAGGATTAGTAATGATGTAATAAGTCATGTGGAAACCTGCTGGCTAATTAAAAACTTTTAATGAAAGGAGTTTATGAGTGGTGAGATATCTGAACAGCCAAAGGCACTTGACCTATAACACCTGTAAGCTGAATGCAGTCCCCAGAACCCACATAGTAGGAGAGAAATGACTCCTATAAATTACACATTCTCTCTCTCTCTCTCTCTCTCTCTCTCACACACACACACACACACACACACACACACACACACACACACGTTTTTTTGTTTGTTTGTTTGTTTTGTTTTGTTTTGTTTTTTTGAGAATATGGGGTGAAGAATGGCTCCGGAGTTAAGAAGCACTTGCTTCTCTTGCAGAGGACCCAGGTTGAGTTTCAAAAAAACCCTATTTGGTGGCCACAACTCCAATTCCAGGGTGTCTGATGCCCTCATCTGACCTGTGTGGGCACTGCATGCACATGGTGTGCATACAGACATGCAGACAGAACACTCATACACATAAACTAAAAATAAATCTTGAGAGAGTTTGAATAGAGACACCTTATTTAAATAAGTGAATAATGCCAAACACAGAAACCACAGGTGATCAAACAGTTGCAGAGCTGAGATGGGGGAGTTGACACAAGCTTCCTTCCCTAACCAAGAAGCTTTTCTCCAGTTCATACCCACTTACAAAGGAAAAATGCATTTAAGGGCAGACCACATGCCCAGTGCTAATGGCCAACAAAAATTAATTCAGTAGTAGTATTTTTGTAGGGCTTTTCCCCCCTCATAACGGTTTAATGGTTTGTTTGGACATTTTTTTTTTTTTTTTTTGTCTCATTGGTCTTTTGCTTATACATATTGTTTGTGATTTTGTTTTTATGGGTTTTGTTTTGCTTTGCATGTGCATGTTTCTTGTGTTTTTTCTCTGTTGATTGTGTTTTTATTGTGTTTTATTTTGCTTATTGTTTGCTTGCTTATTTGTTTTCTAGAAAGAAGGAGAGATAACAAAGTCTTAGAGTTGGGGGTGGGGAGGATCTGGGAGTAGTTTGGAAAGGGAAAACTGATCAGAATATATTCCATGAAAGATAAATTTCAATTAAAAAAGAAAGAAAGAAAACCCCAGGGTCAAGAGTGGGTTACCTCCATAAGGGTTTTTGGCCAGGAAAGCCCAAGCCCCCCAAAACCACACAAACTGTATGTTGCAATCTCGGTTGCTGTGTTAGCGGCTTTTCTATTGCTGTGATAAAGCTCCATGATCAAGCCAACTGATAGAAGAGAGATTGTTACAGTTCCAGGGGGTTAAACGATCATTATGGTGAAAGCATGGCAGCTGGGGCTCACAGCTTGAACAGCAAGCATGAAAATGAAACAGAGACTGGAGTAGGGCAAGGCCTTAATTTCTCAAAGACCTCTCTGCCAGTAACTGTTGTTGTCTAGGGGGCATCAGGAAGGAAATTCACACTATACAACAGAACTCACGTGGGAGATGTATTAGGAGGAGGGGGAGGTACGGGAGCGGCCTCTGAGGGGGAGAGCAGGAGGCGGGGGCTAGCCTCTTATACGGGTATACAGCACATGTGCACAGGGAGGCCAGAGTAAATGCCTGAGTACTAACAAGCGCATGCACACAGGGAGTGCTCCTAGAGGCTGCAGTGGAGGAACCTGAGAGCAAGCCAGCACAAATGCCTGGTTGTTAACAGTAACATACTTCCTTCAGAAAAACCGTACCCTCTAAGCCCCCAGACAGGGCCACCCACTGGGGACCAAGTATTCAAACGTCAAACTATGAGGAACATTTCTCATTCAAACCAACATAGCTGCCCACCAGAAAATGGAAAGGCCCTGTTGCTGACAACACCACACATCTTGATAGCAGGACACAAAGAAAGAAAGCTAGACCTGAACTGGAAGCATCTTCCCTGGTGCTTAGAGTACATACTGCCAGAAAGTGCTGTGTAAGGTGCTAAGGGTCGTCCATAGTCTTCTGTAGCAGTGAACCCTGAAAGGTTCAACATTAACCCACTGGACAAGATTTACACACGAGTGCAATGGCAGCATGACTGTTATGGGGTTAACCAACAGATCTGATTGAATTTGAGGTCTACTCCACAGGCGGGTAGATATATAATTAGTGTGAAAAGTATTGTTCAAAACCCACGATTCCTTTTGCTAATTTGACATGGTGTCAAACAACTTTCTCGATATTTGTTTATACCCATAGACAAATGCTTCTCTAAACCTTGATCACAGAAGTTTCTCTCTGAAGGAAATGAAGGTGAAAACAGAAATTCATTGCTGCTCAAAATTCTGAGGATGCATGACTGTTGAGTGCTGATATCTAAACAGGATATTTACACCCACACCTCAGGACTCAGGAAACACTGTGGAACATATCAAAGAAGGAATATAAGAGCTGATTATGGAGAAGGGACCTGTTCTGGCTTGTGTCAAGATGACACAAGCTAGAGTCATCTGAGAGGAAAGAACCTCTATAGAGAAAAATGTCTCTATAAGACTGGGTGCAGCCCGGTGGTGGTGGTACACGCCTTTAATCCCAGCACTCGGGAGACAAAGGCAGGTGGATCTCTGTGAGTTCAAGACCAGCCTGGTCTACAAAAACTAGTTCCAGGACAGCATCTAAAGCCACAGAGAAATCTTGTTTGAAAAGCCAAAAAAAAAAAAAAAAAAAAAAAAAAAAAGGACTGGTTGTAGGTAGGCAAGTCTGTAGACCATTTCATTAATTAATCAATGGTGTGGTGGTGTGGGAGGCCCAGCACATCATGGGTGGAGCCATCCCTGGGCTGGTAATCCTGGGTCTATAACAAAGCGGCATCTCCCCAGAGCCCCCACATCAGCTTCTGCCTCCAGGTTTCTACCCTGTTTAGTTCCTATCCTGACTTACTTCAATGATGAACAGTGATATGGAAATATAAGCCAAATAAACTCTTTCCATCACAATGTGTTTCTTGGTCACGGTGTTTCCTCACAGCAATAGAACCCTAAGACAGGAAATGCTATTTCCTAGGGATGACAATCCACTGCAATTGCGAACTTACAGCAGTTGTGTTTGTAATTGCCTGCAATGGGCCTGCATACCAACAGTTAGTTGTTGAAGGGAGAGGAATTTGTGGGTATTGATGTATGCAGAGAGAGGAGAGTTCCTTACCTTTACTTCTGTAGCTACTGGTGGACCCAACACGTTCCAGTGACTAGTTCCACAACCATGGTCATAAATGACAACCCTGTTTAAACTCAGTGGAGGAAATGGAGGAAGGCTGACAGGGGAGGATGGATAGGAAAGCCATGATGTTCAATCTAACACTAACTCTTGTCTTGTTTTTTGTGTCCCTGAACCACGACCAGTCCTAACTGCTTCCACGAGATGTACTGTCAGCAGAACAGTTCTGTATCCCTTTTCTCGTAAAGTTAGGCAACTGGTTTTGTTGTTGTTGTTGTTTTTATACCCTCCTGTCACCTGTCATCACCTTGATTATTTGACTTATTATGTGTGGTGCTTTGAACAAGAATGCCTGCCATAGGCTCATATGTTGGAGTGCTTGGTCCCCAGTTGGTGGAACTGTTTAAGGAGTGGGAGGTGTGACCTTGTTGGAGGAGGTGTGTCACTAGGGGTGGGCTTTAAGGTTTCAAAAGGCTGCAGGTAAGGATTAAGCGTTCAGCTACTGCTACATGCCATGCCTGACTTCCTGCTGCCATGCTACCCACCATGAAGATGGAAGAAATTATAGCAATCTGTTTACAGGAAGAGGAACGAGCCAGAGTCCTTGTATGACCACAGATAATAGGTTTCTGTCTTTGCACAAGATATACAAATAAAAATTTCTGCTTACTGACTCCAAAGGTTTTATCACCCCTGACATCAAAGACACGGGCATTTTCAAAAGAGCATAGATCATAAAAACATATTCTGAGTGTTTCCCCATAAGCATTCTCTTTACACTTGCTTCTAGGGAAGAAACTATTGTGAGGGGTTCCAATTAACAAACAAGGAAATAAGTTTACTCCACAGGGTAAGGACACCAACAAGATGGAAAATATAGCAAGCACTTTCTCTTGAAAACAAAACAAAACAAACAAAAAAAAAAAAAACCTGTTTTTAAAGACACTAGCAGTAAACAGAAAGCAGGACAAGATTACAGATATTGGGAAATAGAACCTGTGTTAGAGTGATACTCACCTCTTACTTTTCACCAAGGCTGACCTTAAAGCAGCAAACATTTCTACAAGTAAATTTTTTTTTTTCAAGATTCATTTGTTTTAATGTGATTTTTTTTGGGTTGTGTGTGTGTGTGTGTATGTGTGTGTGTGTGTGTGTGTGTGTGTATTCCCATGCACCATGTATGTTCAGGTGCCCAAGGAAGCATAAAAGGTTGTCAAATCCCTTGAGCTGGAATTACAGGCACTTGTAAGGCACCTGCCTGGTGATAAAGACCAATGGTTTCTGCATTGCCTGATGTCTGAATTCCTTGGCTTATTTTTTAATACTTTATTTCTTAGCATCCTCACAATCATGCCAAATAGTAAACTGTGTATTATAAATTTTGTTTTAATTGCTGCTTATTTGAATATCCACTGTTCTGATAGCGATGTATAAATGAATGTAGCTCATTACACCAGAAAAGTGTTATCCATTCATCATAAAATAGTAAACGAGGTGTACTTGTTTACCTTTCTCGCCACTTTATACACCAACTGGTAAAGAAGAGGAGTACAGTCAACTCGTAGAGTATAATTGCCTGAAAAATAAACCAAACACAAAAGTCTTACTTCATTACATACTACCAAATGAAATCCATTTATGTTTAATTGCAACTTCCTATTTCAAAGTAGCAGTCTTTACTTCACAACGCTCCTGGGAAGTGAGCAAGGCTGTGGTTATTGTTTAAACTGGCAAAGCAATGGTGGGCTCTGGCAGCTGATGTGGCAGGTCCCACAGCCATCAGCCAATTCTCATTGTACACTATCTTTTCAAAGAAAGCATTAAGACTACAGGACATGTTGTAACAGCTGGAGGGACAAAAAACAAAAATGCATCAAAACCACCAAGAAGTAAATTAAAAAAGCAGTTCCAATAAAGTGGGGAAATATATTGTTTTACAAGAAACTGTTTCAAGAAAATATTTCTGCATGAGATATTCTGCAAAATATTTCTTCTGAAATACTCCAGCCAAATTTCTCTAGTTTCTCCACACACAAAAAAAATTATGGTGAATATTAGAGCTTTAAGTCACAATCCAAGGCAAGGAAATATAAACCAAACATACAGAAAAAAAAAAAAAAACAACTCAGGATCTGTAGCTCAGTTGTAAGTCACTATGACTAGTATGAATTCTTTCTCCTGTGGTAAAATTAGAAACAGTTATTACTGAATAATCTTATCGAAACATAAGATCTGAGATACTAGTAAGTTAGAATTTATAGACTTATGAAAATAATAAGCCAAAAAACAATAACAACAATAATTGCCAGGCACTATGGTGCCTGTAATCCTAATGCTTAGCAAGTAGAAGTTCAAGGTTATGGCCACCAATATGTTTGAGGCCATTCATGAGACTCTTATCTTAAGACAAGGGAAAGAAAAGAAGACCAAACAAAAAGATAGCATATTCACTAGAAATGAGATGACTAAAAATAGAATTTATTCAACCATTGTATTTCAAATTAAAATAAGATGCACCTTCTATAGATGAATCTGAGTTGATGTAAGCAATGCTTCTCTCCTGTAGGATCTTTGCATTCTCCTGCAGTTGAAGCAAAGTTGTTAACTCACAGCATTTACCACTCCGAAAATATTAACAAAGTAACCACAATAATCTCCTGGAAAATGGTCTGCTGTGTTTATAAGACAAATATCGTATCTGCCTGTGACCACACTTAACCAACATTCCTATAACTGCTTAATTGATGATTGCAATAAAAATTAAAATAAGAAAATGAGAATATTATAAAGCTGTGCACTAAAAGCAAACGCCCACAGAAAATATTTTCAGGTGTGAGTCCTTCATCCTCTGTATCAGAAGAGAGGTTGAGGAGAGGCTCCAACATTTGGTAGTCCTGCCTAAAATCTTTTGAATCTAAATTGTTCAAAGTGAGCTTCCTGACTGTGGATGTGCTGGGATGAGTAGCATCACTACTCCTTTGCCACGATGACTTGTAACTTCGAACTATGAATAGAATAAACACTTCCTACCTTGAGTGCTTCTCTTAGGCATTTTGTTCCAACAACAAGGAAAGTAACTAATATGGTTGCCTTGATTGTTGTCAAAGTCTCTATTACAGCATTTGCAGGGTCTCAGTGTGTACCCCTGGCTGGCCTAGGACTCCTTATATAGACTTGGCTAGTCTCAAACTAAAGTTCATCCTGCCTCTGCCACCTGAGTGTGGGAAGTAAGGTGTGCATCACCATACATAACGCTCAATGTGTTCTCAAAGAAGTTAAATGTGCTATTGAATATGACAGAATGTCTTATAGAAAACCATTATGGAATATTATTTTAACTAGGCAGAAGATGTGTTACATTTGCTTATGTAAAGGTGTGTTACATTTGTTTATGCTACAATTGCTTAATGATGTAAGAAGGTGTGTTTAATTATGTAACGATGTGTTGCATTTGTTTCACCTGTGGAAGGTACTTGATTGGGCTAATAAAGAGCTGGACAGCCAACAGCTAGGCAGAGAAAAGGACAGGTGAGGCTGGTGGACATAGAGAATAAAGAGGAGGAGGAATCTAGGCTTAAGAGAGGAAAAGGAGAAGAGAGGAGAGAACAGGAGATACTTGCATGGGGCCAGCAAGGCAGCTGTCAGCCAGTAGACACACAAGTAGGGGAAGTAAGATATACAGAAGAAAGGGCAAAACCCTGAGACAAAAGGTGGATAAAGAGAAACAGGTTAATTTAAGTTAAAAGAGAGAGAAATGAGCCTAAGCTAGGCTGAGCATTCAAAACTAATAAGTCTTCATGTCATGATTTGGGAGCTGGTTACGGCCCCTCCCCAAGAAAAAACCTGGTACAGAAAACTAGGAAGAATGTTGAAATTATTCTTAACCTCACATGGGTATCAATGCAAATTTACTATTCTAAATCTTAGATTGATTTTTATTTTGAATTTTTGAAATTGGAGGAACAAATACATTGATGTATGCATGTATTATAAGAAGTCACTGGAATACAAAAATTAATAAAATAAAAAAGAAGTCACACATTCTAAATATAAATTAGCTTGGTCAATCATATTTAATCAATCTAAATTAATGTTCTACTTTCAAATTTCATATTTAAAGTACCAGTATCAAAGTGAAACTACAATATAAATATAACCAACAAAGATAAGTGATATCAGATAAGCAACTATATGTGATTTTGCTTCATATGATTATTTATAGTAATATAAGAGGAAAAAAGTCAGGAGGAAAGCATTTTTTAGACAATACACAGACTTTGGAACACATTGTGCTTATATGTATCAAACAAATAGTAGAGAGAAAGCAAGTACCACAAAAATGTATCTAACTTTATGGCAATGTGTGCTCACTATCCAGGCAGTACTGGTGCTTGACTTTAATTCTAGCACTCGGGAGGCAGAGGCAGGTGGATCTCTGTGAGTACAAGGCCAGCCTGGACTACAGAGTGAGTTCCAGGACAGGGTCCAAATCTACACAGAGAAGGTGCATAGGAGAGGCTCTTCAAGAGTTAAGAGCCTTTAAGAAAGAAAAACAACAACACTGAAATCATAAGTTCAGTTACTTTTTTAAATTGATTAAATTTACAGAATTATCATTTTATATTTAACACTCAAAGCATATAACTTATAAAAGGTAAAGAAATTAATAACTTGCAGATTCTGATTACTTTGTGAGTTTACTGGTTTTGTTTTTATAACATACAAAAAAAAATTGAAATGTTTTGATAATAGTTTTAGGCTAAGAAGAGGCTCTGCTTTGCCAAATAGATGTGAGAGTAGAAGCGAGTTCTATGTCTTAAATTTTCTTGAGTGATTCTCTGTTTGGTAAAAGAATCTATACAAACTTATGAGTACCTTCTCTGTTACTTACTTCAGCCCATTCAGTTGAACCCAGCAGTCCAAACTCTTCTGCATCCCAGCTGGCAAAAATGATTGTTCTCCTGGGTCTCCAGCCTGCAATCACGTTAGTGTGAATGGTTAAATACACCCACCTACAGGTACAGGAATTTTAAGCAAATCACTTGCAGTCAACAGCTACCAGGGCTAGTTACCTTGGTTCATGAGTTTTCCAAAACTTTGGGCAATCTCTTGCAAAACTGCAGTCCCAGTGGTAGGGTCAATACCTCCAAACACCCAGCAGTCACGATGACCTCCCAGAATGACATACCTATCTGGACAAGAATGTGTTCAAAAGAGCTTCAACTTGCATATACATACATGCATTTGCCATTCATGTATTTAAGTTAGACATTTTCCTGCCTGAGTTTCTTCCACAGAAGACAATCAAATGTAATGTGAAATCTTTCAGAGTGGAGATATCCTTCCCCTAAATTTCAGTTTCAAATCATCCAGAAAAATACATATTGACAGAGTTCCATCTTATTCTTTGTTAAAAGGAAATGTCTTTAAAATTTTAGTGACTCACCAGGTTCCATAGATCCTTTGATAGTTCCAATTACATTGTAAATTCTTGTGATTTTGTTAATGTTATTTACATGCATTCTAACTTTCCTAGAATTTTGAAAAGAATAAATTAGTTCAATGAAGCATTGTATTTACTTTTATTTAACTTTTTTGAAAAAAAATCTCAAAACTATAGAAGAGTGAATTCTCATATCTTTACAACCTCAATAATCAGATTATTTGAAACACAAAGTGTCATTATAATTTATTCCTGTGTATTTAGACATATACTTTAAAGTCAACTTTAAATAACAATATTTTATATTTTTTTCATAGCTGTATTACTTATTCTTATTTTTAGTTCAAAATATTTTATTAAATACCTTAAAGTATTAATTTTAATACTTTACTACACAGGAACAACTGTTTGTTATGTAGTAACTAAAAAGATAAATTTATTGTTTGAACATGAATCCCTGTACAGCACAGTAACAGAGCACACATGTAACCCTAAAATTACACAGGAATTAAACCAATCTATTAACACTGCAAGGCTATGATGTTATAGTATAATGTATTACTTATGTATTTGTGGTAACACTGAGATAAACAGACATTATATTGCCAACCATAAATGTAAAGCAATGCAAAGTGTGCCCTCCTTGCTCCTTTAAAGTGTTCTACTTACTAAAGGAGTTTCCTCTAAGATAGACTGCTAAGAGTAGCCTCATTCTTCCTGTTTACAGAATCTCTGAATGGCATCAAGAAGCCACATTCAGTGACTGATCAAACCATTTAGGTAATGTATAAGTACACTCTGATGTTCCAACAATAACACATTTCTCAAAACACACTACCTGTTAAGTGACACTAGATTGCAGTAATGCTTGCTTACAATAACTGTGTAATGTTATGTCATGACTGTGAAAGTGATCTATAAATATGCTTCTTAAAATTGACCTGAGCACTGACTAAAAAAAATGTTAAAGAATTTTGGAAGTTGTGCTAAGTGCACAACTATATACTGAAACTTCCCTGGGCCATCCATTTTGATTCTGATTTGGGCTGGACTTTAATATTCATTCATGATTTTAACCAATTTAAAAGCAAAGGTAAATTCTGTCAAATTCAGCCAGACTTCCTCCATCCCAAAGGCACTGTATGAAAGCCAGAATGACACACTGAAAGACCTAAAAAGTAATGTTAATGATGGACTAACCTAGAAACCAATATCTGTTCCTTGGAATTTGCTAGCTTCCTCTCACAAGGCCCTGAGATAAGAAGAATTCACACTGCCCCTCCTTTCCTGTGAGTCAACAGGTGGTAAATAGGATCAAGAGATAGCTGTAAGTTTGGTTTGCCCAGACAAGATTAATTAGCACACCTGAGGCCCTAAGGTCTGCTGACCCTAATAGCAGACCATCTGACCTCCAAGGGTCACATACTCAATGGACAGAGGGTCCCACCCCCTCCCTAAGCTTGTGGGGTTGCCTTTAAAAACACCTGGGCCCAGGGGAGGGGGCTTCTCTCTAGCCTGAGTGCTGGAGGAGCCCGTTTGCACAAACATATCCTGTTCATTAAAGCCTCTTGCGTTTTGCAGCAACTGGACTGGACATTGAGTTCTTGGGGTATCGACCGAACCTGGAAGGAAGACTCCTCATTCTGAGGGTCTTACAACACATAAATATTGAGCTGCTTTTTCACAGGGACAGGAACAGAAGCCTTTGTTTATTAAAAGCACACACCTTTAATCCAGGCATGAGAGAGGCAGAGGCTAGTGGATCTCGGTGAGTTGGAGGTCAGCCTGGTCTGTGGGAGACCATAATTGAGTTAATTTTCATCTAGAGTCTATTCTGACTTATAAGTCATTTGAGTTCAAGCTTGTTTGTTTCAGTCCCCTGAGAGCTGTAAGAATGTTCTGATTAAGCCTGTGGGAAAGAACATATTATCTTCCTAAGATGCAGACTGCTAGATGCCAGCCAAAGGAACATCAAGATAATGAAGGTGCTTGCTGCTAGCAGGACTTGCATGGTAGAGAGAGCCCATCTATTCCATGATTCAAGGACAGAGCCAGGCACTGGTTAACTAACTGTGTTGCCCTTTGTTTCGCTCTTTGCCTTCAGTCTTTATGTAAACAGGTTCTGAAATAAACTGAGGCCCTTTAGCACTGACTGGGCAGTCCTCCTGACTCTGGCCTGGCCTGTCTTCTTTGTTTTTCTTAAGCCTCACAACCCTACCCAGGTGTCCTAGCTTACTCATTAGAGCAGACTCCAACACAAATCAAGTTCCAGGACAGGCTCCAAAGCTACACAAAGAAACCCTGTCTCAAAAAACAAACAAACAAACAAACCACTCTATAATGAGTTATCCATGATTAGTTGATGGGAGGAAGGAATTGGCTACCAAGGCTTGTACAATGTGAAGTACATGCAGATTCTCCCATCCACCTAAAATTTTTCTAAATACATAAATAGTCCTAATAACAATTAATATACAGTTCAGCTAAAAGTTATTTCAAAAACAAAACCAATCAACAAGTGAGGATTTTTTTTAATGCATTAAGTAAAAAAAATTATTTTTGCTATTGTGAAGTAAAATCAAGAAGGAGCTGGGGAAATGGCTTAATGGTGGAACAAGCAGTTGGCAAAAGCCAGGTTCAGTTTTAGCAACAAAACACCCACTGCTACAATGCAGAAATATTTTCAGCATCTTCCCGAGAAGAGCTTGAAGTCTATGATTAAAAAGAAACCTAAAGTCATTGGTATTATATCACTGTATCATTAAATCAAGGAAGCTAAGTCAGGATTAGTGTGGTAGCTTTTGCCTCTAACAGTAGCACTCTGGAGCCTGACGCAGGAGAATTTCTATGAGTATGAGGCCAGTCCAGCTACACAGAGAGAGATTTTTTTTTTTTTTTTTTTTGCTTGTTTGTTTATTTGGTAAATATTGATGCAATAAATGATTTAAAAGGAGAGAAAAGTCTGTAAGTCTAAACATTAAACACAGGGTAGATGTCCAGAATCTCAAATGTTTGTTTTACATTTAAGGCTTCACCCTTTCTACTTTTCAACTTTTCCTTTGACTTCCTGAATTATTTGTAGCAGTTACCACCTATTCCTCTTATCACTTCAAACAGACTGAATTCCAAATAAAGCAGAGTTTAGGATATAGGCATAACAGAGTGCTGATTGTTGTTTATTTGATCCAGGATGAATCTCCGGGACTCACAGTGGTACTTTGTGTACAGTTAATGTTTATCAAGTATTTGTCAGATAAACTAATGAATGGATGAAAATACAGCCTAACTCTGTTAATGACTACTAAAAGTTAGAAATTTGAAAAAGTCCATCAGCACGTATTTAAAAATCACCTTAGCTACATGCAAAGCTCAGGAAAAAGAAAAATACATGAAATAGCTTGGCCACGATGATTGGTTTCTGGAAATTATTATCATTATTCATAACCACCTAGTTTCTAAAGAATGTTGTTATCCACAACAATAGTCTGGGAACTGTTATGGGTCATCCTGTCCACAAAGAAAATTAATAACTAAAAGAAGCCGCTCAAGGACAAGGCCACTGAGCCCACTGGTCCTTGAAAAGAAAAAAAAACCCTAATCTTGCAGGTGCACTAAATCTCTGTAACCTAGGAAACCTTATTAACCATCCAAGTTTGGAACTGTCCCATGACCTTGCTTTTAGGCCTAGTGAAAATAGCAGGCTAGCTCTGAAACTGGCCTTGTTAGCTTTGATGAAAATCCTATAAAAGTTGTCTCAGTTCTGCCCTCGAGGTCCTCAGTCCTCTACCCCAGCGTGGCGTATGACTGTGGACCCCAGTGCACTTGGAATAAAAATTCTTCATGCTATTTGCATCGAGACCGCTTCTCATGAGTGATTTGGGGTGTCGCCTTTCCTAAGTGGGAGCGTGAAGGTCCATGCTCTGCAGATCTATCACTAACACACTCCTATAGAGAAAAGCTGGAAAGCACTCTAGTTCATTTATGACCGTTCTCTTTATCTTTTTTTCCCATTACATTATATCACTAGACTTCTTTAAACATCTCTGTAGAGATAGACTCAGTGAACACACTCAATGACAGAAACAGAAATAGTTCACATTCATTTAAGATCCTTCCCCACTGTAAAAGCAAGCTTTCCTGCAATTATGTTCATCTCAGCATTCCTAATAAGCTGACTTGAGATGTATGTGAGTGTGTCTATGTATCCTTGAACATACCTTTAGACCAATTTTAACACCAGTTCTGGCTCCTTTATTTACAAGTCCTAGAATAAATTCTCGTTTCATATGTGTCCAACAGTTATCTCTTTTGTCAGGACCCATGAAAAAGGAGTCCATTCCATCTTGCCACAAGTTCAGAGAGATCAAATCTGTCTTATTGATCCATAAAACAACATTAATTTGCTGACTACAGGATGTTTTGGCCTTGGTGGTGGATGTCTCTTATCTAAATAACAATAGCCCAGGTGCATTTACTCTAGACCCTGAAGGCCAGACGGCAGGTGTGGCTATCAAATACCTAGAGAATTAAGGGAAGTAAGTCTCTTTGCCCCTTATACATAATAACAGAAGTCTTTTGTCATTTTTGTCCCCCACTGTTGGTTGAATACATAAGATCATAACAGAATAAACAGGGGCATTCAGTATGGATTGAATTTGCCCTCCCGACGCTATCCTGTGTCTCTGTTCTTAACCTTTTAGCTAGCCTTTCCCTCATGCACACTTCCCCTCTCAGGTATGAACTTGGGGCTGCTAGGCTGGCTCCGACTGCAGCCCCACAGACAGCTCTCGACCCTCTTTAAATTATTCCTTACCACATTTGGAGGTCTCACTAAGTGCACCATGGCTTTATCTTGCAGGAACAGTATGGGTAGTTAAAAATCCCTGTTTTAATTATCTGTTTGTCTAGGTTTAATTTTGCTCAACTGATTTTGTGTTTATTTGTGTTTCCATTTTTGTTAGGGCCAAATTATTTTTCACTGATGCCAGCAGCATGAGGAAGAGCTTTATGTCTTGTCATTTGATGGTATCTCTAAGTGGACAAATTACCAAGATCTCTGTGAGGTGAAAGAAAGAAAGCAAGGGCTTAGCTATTAGCAAGAATAAATCCATTTTGAACTCAAATCAAAACAATGAAGGGCAGGGCTAGACAACCAGATCCTAGGCTCTATTTCTTATGATTTCTGAGTTTTATTCTTTTTAAAAATACATATTTTATTTGTGTATCTGTGCATGTGTATGGAGAGGACAATGAGGTCAGAAGAGGAAGGAGGGCATCAGATCCCTTAGAGCTGGAGTTACTGGCATTCTGTGATCCAACATGGGTACTGGAACTGATTCCAGTCCTCTTAACTGCCAAGTACCATACTAGACCCCTGAGTAAACTCAGAGAAATTATGCATGTATTTCCTCCATGTCTGTCTGTGGTGATATCTTGCTTGTATAAATAAAGCCTGTCTGAATGCAGGACCAGGCTGACAGAAATTTCTATCCACATTTATCTGCTCCTGCTTATAAATTTAAAAAAAGAAAAGGAAAGAAAGAAAGCCTTTATCTTGTGCAGCTATGTTATCTTTCCCTCTCTCTGGAGAACATAAGTGAAATTTCTACTTGAAGGAACACTGTTCTAATTGAATTATGATGATAATTAAGCCCTTACATAACTCAGACTCTAAAATCCCCATAAAAAGAAAACTGAACTTCTTTCACTTTATTTTTTCTGAAACAAGCCAATTTTAACAATAAAAAATATTCTGAGTATCAAAGTTTACATATATAAGTAAATTATTCACAAACAGGACTGACTGAGCCAAGTGAGTATAATAAACAGCTAACTTTATCCTTTCTGATTTACAAGCACTAACATTCCCCGTTCCCAGTTTTTCCAGTATATCAAACTTCTTACCATGGCCTGCATTTTGACATCTGCACTGTCTGCCCACTTTTTCTCATCCCAACAGGCACATATGATCATTATGCAACAGTTTTATGTTAAAAACAATACTAGTTATAGCAGAGCAGTGGCAGCGCACACCTTTAATCCCAGCACTTGGGAGGCAGAGGCAGATGGATCTCTGAGTTTGAGGTCAGACTGGACTACAGAGACAGTTTCAAGACAGCTGGGACTACATCCAGAAACCCTGTCGCAGAGAGAGAGAGAGAGAGAGAGAGAGAGAGAGAGGGAGAGAGCTAAAAATAATGACACACCCATTGAGAATTGTTGTACAACTTAATTTCCTCATTTTGACTCATTTATGCCATCTAGTAAAGGTTAAATAACTGGCAGCTCCTCTCTCTTTGTCCCTTTACCTTCTTTCAACTGACCTACCATAAGTCACTAGGAAAACTGACTTAAAATTTGAGCTGAAAATGGAAGTTAAAAAAAGACAACACTACTTGAAATGTTATGAGCCTAAATGTAAACATAGTGATATTTCATCTAATATAATAATGTCACCACTGAATAATTCTATAGCTAATTCTGTAAGTCCTTGTGAGCTTGTATAAAATGATCAATTTCTCGCTGGTGACAAGGAAAAAAGGAGAAAAGCACACTTTACCTGGCTTAGCATTATCTTGACATTTTCCTGTTAAAAACAAAACTTTTCTAGGCTATTAAAGAGTCACAAAATTACCTGGAATGTTCACTTCCTGTAAAGCCAGGCCCGATATTGTAACTAACGTTTAGAGTTCCCTTCCAGCTTTTGTCTGGTGGAGCAGTTCCTCCCAAGTTTCTGTCAAGAGTACATGAAACAACACAAAGATTGATCTTAAGGATGCCATCAAACTGAGTGTGACACTGCATATGGACGAGCTACTTACACTAAGGCCCAACCTCGGGGAGCTTTCTTTGTGAGAAGAGTCGTGGCCTAGACAAATAAGTAACACGCAATGTGGCAACATGTTAGTTATGAAGACGAAGGCAAGAAAGTAAAATCTAGAGGAATGACGTGTGATAACATCACACTTGATGTAGCTGAAGAAGCAGGGAATTGAGGAAATCCAGAATAGGGAACATCCATGACTGTGTTAAGAAGCACCTAACTTTTAAAGAAACTACTGACTCCAAGGGAGACACCCATAGAAAGTAATTAAGTTATTCTGGTACAGATATTTAAGGAATGGAAGTTGGAAAATAGGCAATGAAATACAGAAAACATTACGAACAAATATTAACTCAGTGTTCACTGTACTGGAGACATTGCCCTTGGCTCTGATTCAAGAAGAATCAGCACTGTGAGGGAACTAAATCAGATAACAAGGGAGTAACTGGTGCAAGATCAAACATCTAGTGGCTAGATAAACAGCTAATCAATACCTAAGGAAACCCAAGTATTAATTCTCTCAAATCAGTGCTTGATTTTAACCTTTGGACAGAATTTCATATTTGAGAATTTCATTTGAGCAGAGAAGTGTTTTATTATTATTTCGTAGAAGTTAATCTGATTGTTCTACTAAAAATAGTGTTCATACTTCGGAACTTATTTTGATATGAGTGTATTTTTGGCATAACTGATTTATAGAGAAGAAAATGGACATCACAGGGCAAGATACATTCACATCCAACTAAATGACTATACCGTAACAGTATCTCTGCATCATTATATCCAATTGGGTGTACAGGTATGTTCGGAATCCCTATTCCTTCTTCAACAGGCAGTCTGAAGGTGTACTCTGCAAGAATCAACTATGTCAGTGAAAACCATTAAAGAATGAAAGCAAAGACAACAGTATGCAGGAATTTCTTGTAATATTATTGCATATTTGTTATATTTTACAGTTAAAATAAAATTAAAGGTTACCAAAAAGCCAAGCTGTTTTCGTTAAACTGGCCTATTTGAGTCAGCAGTAAAAAATATGTCATTTATATTTTAAAGTGAAATCAAGTCATAGAAATTATAGATTTTCAAACTAAACACCCAAAATATTTTTTTAAAACTTTTTATTATTTCATTTGCTCAAAAGACATTATGAGATACTAATAAAAGAAACTCCAGTAAACTGTATGCTTGGGAAATGTGACTATATATTCTAAAGTCACAAATAATGGGGAATAAATAGAAAACTTATGAGATTTTGAGAAATAATTACATTTATAAATAATAAGACAAGTTTTTCTTCAAAGGAAGATAGGGAAATGCTGTCAGACTGATAATCTCCTTAGGCCTGACTATCAGGCAAGATACGTTAACCTGGAAACCTTCATACTCATTTCTGAACCAACTTAAAAAATGACAAGACATATGAAACAGTTCTAAGATTTTTTCATATTACTTATTTTTATAATTACTTATTGAAGCAAAAAGCTTGACAATATAAGTATACAAAAAATCAGCAACTATACAAAATTGAATGGACAGATATTCATAACAGTTGGGCACATTTCAAAACAGCAGAATTTACTTTGTTCTCAGGAGGTTGGAGAACATATGTTCTGTAGACCATATTGTGGTCTTGTGGACCATAAAACATGTTCCACTAAATGCAAAAGTCATACAAAGCATGTTGTTTGGAAAATCGTGGAATTATAGTGGAATTAGAAATCAGTATTGAAGAAAATGTCTCCAAAATTCTTGAGCAGCTAAAAACCAAACAATATGATTCTCTGCTAACCCACAAAAAAGCAAACAAAACAAACAGGTAGGCTGCCAGGAGACCTTCTCTTCTCTCTCTCAGTTTCCCCAGTGCGAATCCTCGAGTCTTATTTCCCAGCTCAATAGTACAACACCCTTGCCAGCCTTTCATCCCATCTCCCATTGATGCCCCAGATCTTCTCCCTTCTAAACTTCCTCCTCATGATGACAATGAACTCTCTGAAACTATAAGCAAACCTCCCCAGTTATATGTTTTTTGTTTGTTTGTTTGTTTTTTAATAAGAGTTGTCATGATCAAAGTGTCTCTTCACAGCAATAAATATCTTAACTAAGACACAGGTTTAGTCTATTATCATCATGACAGAAAATGTGTGGGTATCCAGGCAGACATGGCATTGGAAAAAGAGCTGGGGGTTCTACATCTTGATCAGCAGGCAGCAGCAGGAATCTGTGTACCACACTGGGTGTAGCTTGAGTATGAGACCTCAAAGCTTGCTCCCACAGGGACAGGACATACTTCCTCCAATAAGACCACACCTACTCCAAGAAGGCCACACCTCCTAATAGTGCCACTCTCTATGGGCCAAGCATTCAAACACATGATCTGTGGGGTCATTCCTATTCAAACCACCACATTCCACTCCCTGACCCCCAAAGAAATTCAACTAAATTTTTTTCCTAAAGGACAAGACTGTACATTCTTTCCATTGTATCTACTCATTGTAGTACTCTTTTGGCTAGAACAATAAGACAACTGAAAAAGATCAAGGGGATACAAATAGGAAAGGAGGACCTCAAAGAATCATTATTGCAAGATGTTATGATATATATATATATATATATATATATATATATATATGTATGTATATATATATATATATATATGTTACCCTAAAAATTCCACCCGGGAACTCCTACAGATGGAAAACAAACAAACAAACAACAACAACAAACCCAAACCAAAACAAACAAACAAAAAAAAACCTTCAACAAAGTAACTACATACAAGATTCATAAAAAAGACAAAAACAAAAACAAAAATAGCTGGTGTATACACAAATGAAAAACTGAGAAAGAAATCAGGAAACAATACATTCCACAATAGCATCAAATAATAAAATATCTTGTAGTAAATCTAACTTGTATGATAAGCTTGAAGTCTTCAAAGAAATAAAAGCAGAAAGATCATGCTTGTGGGTCAGTAGGATTGACATAGTAAAGATGGTCATCCCATCAAAAGTAATCTACAGATTCAATGCAATCCTAATCAAAATTTCAAGACAATTCTTTATAGATCTTGAAAGGACGATATTCAACTTCACATGGAAAAATAAAGAACCCCGGACTGAGAAATTACTTATTTCCAAGCAGTCAGAATCCAAAATGACATAAAGACATACATAATTTTAGTTTTATTGTGATTCTTAAAGTCTTATTTTAATGAGTGCTTGGTTTTATACACCTAGAACAGCAAAGCATATCATACAAAAATGATCAACAAACAGATTTGCCCATTACCTTTAGCTGGATAACCTGGAGTGAGTGGGTCACCTGCCCCATTCAGGTTTAAGACATTTCCTCTCTGTGCTGCAGCTCCAGGAAGGTTCCATCCTTTGGGATAGGGCTGTACCTCAGGGGCAAAGTAGTCAGCGGGATCAGAATACAGGATGATTCCTATGGCTCCAGCCTGTATGGCATTTTTAACCTGTAGGAGCAATGTGCAATATGATACAGGAATGCAAATGGAATGGCTTACAGTAGTAAAAAATGTATTTAATAACTGTTTTTGATGGTGTTGTTATAAACTTGTTACCTTTGCTTTCAAACTAGTTTCCTTCATGGTAAACTTGACAAATGGTCATTTATCTTACAAAATCGTAACTAAATTATCTCTTTTAACAGGTGTTCCTATCTTGCCCAAACGTGCAAAATTAAAGTCCCCCTTTTATATATTTATTTTATTTTATATATTTCTATCATAGGACAGTTTATAACATATTAAAATTTATTTCTAGTGTTTGTCTACACCATGAATATGAGTGTTATTGAGAATGTGAATGATGCCATACTCTTTTTCTTGTTTTTCTTTTGGTTTTTCAAGACAGGGTTTCTCTATGGAACAGTCCTGGCTGTCCTGGAGTTCATTTTGTAGACTAAGCTGGCCTTGAACTCACTGAGTGCTGGGATTAAAGGCATGTGCCACCACCACCCAGTGATGCTATAGTCTTAACCAACTACCCACCAAAATCCTGCCCATCACTGAGTAAGCACTCCTGGGTTTTCACATCTGTCACAGCGTGTTTTTCAAAAGCATCTAATTATCTGGATTGGCTAAGAATAGAAAACTTTATTCTGTGAGATAACTGAATTCAAAGTGTTCATTCGAATGATTCGAATCATTCGAAGTGTTGTAGCAAAAGGTAAATAACTCTCATTCCTGGCTCTCATATGCATCACAATATTAAGAAAGACTCAGCTTTGTCAGTGTCTCAACTTTCTGGAAAGGAAATTTGATTTTATTTCATCAAAATATTGAGCAAACATATACCATTATCTATACACTTAATTTTTATGAATTTTTATCATAAAAAATAGATGCGAATTTTTGAAGTATATGTGGAACGTTAACAACGGAATTCTTTATAGTAGGAACATATTGAAGCCCAACTAAGGAAAGCATCTATCAACAGGAGAATGATTAAATTATCAATTCTGAAAAAAAATATCATGTTCCTATTTAAATTAATGAGGCATTTAAGAAGTAGTCATATAGAAATTACTGATATAAGGAGGAGCCTATGAACTCTGTGAGGTTGCTGTTATTAGCATTCCTGTTCTACTTGTGAGGACACTGACACAGAGAGAGTAGGTGATAGGGAAAGATCTAAAGATGTGTTGTCCACACTCAGCCTGACCCAGGTCTGTGCAGTCAGGGTCCTAGCCCTTCTGCTACTATACTTACAGCTTTTAGTGTGTTAACCATGGCTTTGCATACAAATATGTGAGTGGGAACAATGTTACAGAACACACAGCGTATTCTGGACTCTTTAAAATCTAATCATAATAATTGCATAAATTATATATATATGCTCAATTTAATCAGGAAGTGGTGACTAAAATTTACTATGTTTAGAAAAGTTAAGTTGGGAATACAGAGGAAATGTTCCTTTTGATTGATACAGATTTCCTCCTATTGACTTTTAGAAAGCAAATACTACTTTTCTAACTAATTCTACTTTTCTTTCTAAAAATATAGTTATATAAAATAAAGTTTTGTGTGTACCCATGGAGAACAACCAAAAAATAAATAAGAGCAAATTCCTAAAGTGAATATAACTGACCAATTATACTTGTGGGGTCCAACCTCTCCCCTCCTGTCTAGAGAAAAGAATAGCCTACTTTATTTCCTCGAAAGATCTTCCCATATCTTGCAATAACAATCTTTCCAGTGCAGTTGATGTTCATCTCTCTTTCCAGTTTGAAGAAGTCTTCAGTGCGAGCATAGTTGACATATACAAGTTCTCCCTACAGGGAAACGGGAAAGATACATATGCTACTGCCTTCAAGACAAAATTAAAATTATTTGTTCTTCAAAACTGTCTTGGCATTTTCCCCCCTTATTTGGGATTGATTAACATTTGGAACTCATTACAACATCATTTTAACACTTCAACACCCTCTTTAAGGAGCTATGATGTATTTTAAATAGTTGTTCTCCAGAAGAAAATGTTAGCAGGCAACAATCAAGCCATTTCAGTAATCTCAACTATGTTTTCATTTTTAGCTTCCCTCTTTCTGATATATTCTGATAATGGTTTCCTCTCCCCTACTCCTTCCAGTTCTTCCCCATTTCCCCTCCCTTCATGATCCACACTTTTCCTGCTTCTCCTTAGAAAACAAGCAAGCATCTAAGGGATAATAATACAATAAAAACAAAAACAAACAAAATCAGAATAGAATAAAAAAAAAAAAAAGAACAAGAGCCAAACGAAAAGTACAAGAAATGACAAGAAGAAATGCATATAAATACAGACAAACACACACACACACACATACGCACGCGCAAATGTAATGAACACACAAAACTGGAAGCCATGATATATATATGCGAAGGACCTGAAATGTTAAAAAAAAAAAAAAAAACCTAGCAACATTATGAGAACCTGTAAAGAAGTCATTGGGTTCATTTTGTATTGGCCATCTACTGCTGGACATGGGGGCCAACCCTTTAAGAGTGGTTTGCCCAGTGAAACTTCCACGGAGAAAACTAACCTCTAATTTGCAAGTAGCTATCATCAGTTGGAGATAGCTTCTGAAATCCCATAAGTGTTTAATTTCAAACCACAGCATTATTTTAGGAACATCTGTATTATGAACACCAAAAACAGATGAGTAAAATAATTGACAATTCACATTGTAAACAGTGGGGAGAGCTGATGAAAGCCCCCTATTCAAAGCACACTCAAGAGTGTGCTGCTTGGTAAAGTGAGTGCTGTCTGCTTCAGTAGAACTCCTTAAGTGCATTTATTTCCTTTCATTTTTCCTTTCCTTATGAGTGTGTCTCTTATTAAAAAATCATTTTAGGTTTTGAAATTGTTTGAAAATCAAACAATGAATACACAAATATTTAGTCTTCATGTAAATTCACATTGGTTGAAATTCTCTACACAGGCTTTCACATAACAAAGAAAGAAATAAATGTGTGCATGTTTATAAATGTACTTTTTTTTTTTTTTACCTCTGGCATGCCATTGGCTGAAAACGCATTATATGGTGGTACGATGTTTGTAACATTTTCATATCCATCTGGTGGTGGTTCAAGGTATGATGTTTTAAAAATCTAGCAAGAATTCAAACATGGCAAGTTACAGAGAATAATCCCAGGTCACTATTAAGGCATAGTCCATCTTGCCCCCTACGTTACACTTAGGTAAGGTTTTATAATTAAATAAATAGCTCCTGCTGACAACAATGAGCATATTTTGCCTCATCTTCAAAATAATAGTCCTGTGTGATTAAATGTTCTCTTATTAAGTGTAGAAGCAGAGCTGCAAAGGTGGCATTCATGCACTGGTGTGCAGCTCCGTGATAGAACACTTGTGTAGCATGCTGAATTCCATCCCCAGCACTGCTCAAAAGAAAACAAAAGAAATGATCCCAGTAGTGGTCCTTTGTGATTTCCTCTTTTGTCTTTTCTGCTTCTCTTACAAAGTCCTTTTCTTTCACCATCCTTTTTTATCTTCTACCATCCCTAAACATGATTATGATTCTGCATCTCTCACCTGTGAACTGCCATACTAAGCAAGCCACCTGCACCAGGCAGTTGGGAGTGGACAGTCACCTTGATTATTTACATGCTTCTTCCTTGCTCAAGTCACCCAAGAAACCGTGTTCTTGTTGCTAATACACTCCCAAACTGCTTCACAAATTCAGCCTTCATCTTTATTTTTGCTAGTAGTCTAATTCAGGGCTTCAGCCTTGGCTTGAACTACTATATTACATTGTAACTTTGACTCCCTGCCTAATCTACATGGGATGTGCAAGTGCCCTACCTAACATGCTTTTAAGTTCCATCTTTTCCTTACCTAACATTTTCAGAAGGTCTCAGCATTGAAGCTTGACATCTAATTCCATAAGATATAATATAATCCTATGATCTGTCTGTCTCCAGAGCATATGTACTAGTTTATCCCTTTCTGTAGTTCACTTTGTTTTCACACTATTGGAATACATAAACTCTTTAGACTCTGCCAAAATATGGAGCCATGACATACATTCATGCATATCTAGTGTTTTCCTCTGACTAGAACTATCTTACTTTGCATTAAGTTTTCATGTGGTTAAACTCTTATTCTATTTTCTGACTCATATAACAATTCCTCCATGAAGACTTTCTATTTCCCTGTTTAGGCTAAATGACTGGTTCCTTTGTAGATCAAGAACGTTCCACAACATTTACGCTACTGCTTTTACATGATCCTTTATCTGCCTCACCTTACTAAGCAAAGGAACTAATCTTCATTCTGGCCTGAGAAATTAGTTCCATGTTAACACAAATAGACACTGAAGAGTTTGCAATATATCAACTTTTTGAATTATGTAAATGGTACTGCATTACTAACACCTTTCTATTGTTACTCGACTCTACATTCTAATCCATCAAGGAGCAAGAAGAAAGAGATGAACTAGGGAGTGTGCACCTGTAATCCCAGAACTCAGGAAGCAGAGGCAAGAGGTTTGCCACAGATTTGAGGATATTCTGGTTCATACAGCAGATTCTAGCCAGCACGAGCTAAAAAGTGAGATCCTGTTTCAAAGGCAAAATATGAACCAGAGATTTCAAAATATGAAAACTCCCAAGAATTCTACATCACCTCAAGTCCATGTTCATCCACAATTGATACATAGTTTGCATTCGTCTCATTTGGGTAAGATAAGAGAACATCATAATGAACTAAGTTGGCTGAATCTAATCCAAATTTCTTCCACTGTGTTTGGATTTCCTTGGCAAGCATTAAATTTTGTTCTGTTCCTGCCAAATGTGGAAGTTTTGTAAAGGAACTGAAATGAAAGGAATAAAATTTGTAATTAAGAGAGTATATCCAAATGATGCTCTATGGTTCACCTTTCATGCGGTCAAGTATCAATTATGTATTAGACATAGAAAAAAAATCTCAGTTGGAAAAACCAAGTTTTTAGACTTAACTTGCTAAAGTAATTAAGCACAACTGCAATTTCCATGTTATTCTCCCTCTAGAAATAACATAATCCATGTTAAACACAATATCAGAGGAACAAATGTGAGAAGACACCTTTAAGAATGTGAGAGCTCTATAACAATGATACAACACCTTAATGTTTATGAGGAAATGGAGAGGGAAATGTTCTAATATTTGCTTCAGGACAGCCAGGTACTCTGTATTTGGCTTAGTTGCTTATGTCAACTGTAACATGTCAGTACCAGTGTGTTGATCTCATTAAAACTAATGAACTTTTGTATTCTCTAGTGCCAAGGTCTTGTCCACGACAGATCTGTGCCTTGGATGGTATTATCTTAGTTTTGGGTTTAAGTGAGCTACAACATTTTAATAACTTCCCAAAGAGTTATTAGGGAAATTTATTTTGCTTTAGGCAATAGTAAAGGTTTCTTCTCTGCTTAAATCAGTAGAGAAATAATAAATACTTTTATAAATTAAAGTTAACTAAAGGGTGATAGAAAATGGACATGAAGATGAATTTTCATTGGAAAAAAAATTTTTTACATTCCATCCCATCCTCACAACTACTCTTCCTTTCCCCTATTTTTCAAGTAAGGTAACTGATGAAGTAGTCCACGTTTTTATAGCTAATAAACTCTTGGGCTAGAACCTGTAATTATAACTTTCTGATTTTAAGAAACATATTTTTTCAGGAGTTGATCTGATCTTATTTCACAATTACTCACGATACTCAGACAGTCCCATATAATGTAGACTATAATGTGTATACTCCACATGCATCTGACCTACCCTTCCATCTTTCAGCCTCATTCAGTTACTGTGCTCACAAGCTTCTGCTTAAGAGCACTCTTTCCATTTAATTTTTTGTCATTTGTAGACTTTGCACAAGGCCTTCTTCCCAAACATAACTAATTCTCCATCTACTTGAGTCTTCTCTCCCATCTGCAAACTACCACTGAACTATGAAGAGTCAAGTACCAAGCTCTGAGAATTTTTTTTTCTCTCTCTCTGTCATTAAGTGAAAAACCAAAGGTTACAGATGTTTAATATGTCAAATATTAACAAACAAATGAGTTTAGATAAGTTATTTTACAACTAGGGAAAAATACATCAAGCCTAGGTTTATTTAATTTCTACTATATATACTTGTGTTAGTTATGTTATGTTTTGTTTCGTTTTCAACTTGACAACCTAGAGTCATCTATAAGAGGAAATCTCAATTAAGAAATTGCCTCCTTCAGACTGGCCTTGTAGACAAGTCTGTGAGGCATTTTCTTCATTGATGATGATTGATTGGAGAGGGCCCAGCCACTGTGGGCAGTACCATTCCTAGGCAGGTAGTCCTGGAATCAATAAAAAAAGCGAACTGAGCAAGTCGGAAGAAACAAATCAGTCAACAGCATTCTTGGTTTATGCTTTGGTTCTTGCCTGCAGGTTCCTCCCTTGAGTTTCTGTCGGGACCTTCCTCAGTAAGGGAGCATGTCCTGAGAGATCTAAGATGAAGTAAACCCTTCCTCCCCAAGTTAATTTTGGTCATGGTGTTTATCACAGCAATAGAAACCTAACTATGACAATAGTTCATTGTTGTTTTACTTTCTACAGTAGGCAGATACCATTTTTGCAATTAGAAAAAAAAAATTGGTGTATTTCTTTAAATGGAGGTGGAGGGTTAGTCATGAGCTTGTGCTTCTCACCTTTTAGAGGGCTTAATGAAATGAAACACAGGAGTGGAAAAAAGAAAAGCAGACTATAGCATTGAGTTTCTCTTCATGATCCAAGTTGAATAGTAATCTGGTAATATTCAAAGTAAAAACAAGAACACTATTCCTTCTTGCATTTTTTCATTCCATGGGGAAACAGCTTTAGTTAGGGCTCAGTCACCTTTCCAGAAGCTCAAGTTCATCGCACATTCCTTTTTAGCTTAACTGCTAGACAATTAGAATTATCAGGATCCTAGGAGAAGAACGTGTGTGGTTTGTTTACTGTAATACATCTGCAAAACCTCTGAAATAGAAGGCTTGGAAGACGTGTAGCTTACGTAAACTATAATTCAACAAGGCTAATTTGTTAATGGTACTCTTTTTGTGGGAGCCTGAGAAGGATAACTGTTACAGTGACTGCCTTCAAAAAGAAGTTGAAAGGCTTACACTGTTCTTATTGTTTTCACATTATTCAGTGTTTGAGCAAAACCAAATGAGAAAAAAAAAAAAATTAAGGCAACCACAATCAGAAACACTGATCTCCTCTCTAAGTCACTGAGGGGAAAAAGATTTTTCTGATTAAATCCAGTATACTGATTAAGTCACATTCAGGCTGGGCCATTGTGGTGTACGCCTTTAATCCCAGGGGAGGAAGAAGCATTTGGATCTTTGTGAGTTCGAGGCCAATCGACCAATCTGATCTACAGAGTGAGTTCCAGGACAGCCAGGACTGTTTCATAGAGAAACCTGTCTCAGAAAAAACAAACAAACAAAAAATCATAGTTACTTGCAGTTCAAGATTATAGGAAGATGAAATGTCTCTAAAAACACGAAACAGACACTTTTCTGTGGGATGAAGTTATAGGTGAGAAAAGGCTCCTCTGTCACAGGCCATGGATTTCATCCTGAGTGCTTTAGCGATTTTAAAATTCAGTGAACTGATGAGCAATTTATAACTTCACTTATAAATAAAGGCTGTCCAAGTTTTAATGCATTTGTTCCTGCAAGAAACACTACTCTCACAAAAACAAAAACAAAAACAAAAACAAAACAAAAAAAAAAAAAAAAAACAAAACAAGCTTACCGAAGAAATGATCTAATGTTTTCAGCTTTCATTTCAGATAAGATTTTCCACTGCATACTTTGATGGTAACGAGCTGAAGTAGTTGTTTCTTTGAGAGGCTTAATAAACCAGCCTGGGGATGAAATGGAATAACAGGTACACGTAAACAACACACAGAGATACACAAACATATAAAGACACATAGACACAAGCACACTGATTGCTTTTATTAGAAACTAAATAAAGTGTGTGTGTGTGTGTGTGTGTGTGTGTGTGTGTGTGTGTGTGTGTGTGTTTTAAAGATACCAACAGATCCCTGTGGGCTTTTGGGATAAAAGTATGCTAAATAGCCGGGCATAGGTGGCTCATCCCTTTAATCCCAGCACTTGGGAGGCAGAGGCAGGTGGATGTTTGTGAGTTCAAGGCCAGCTCTGACCTCCAAAGCAATACAGAGAAACCCTTGTCTTGAATTCCAAAAGGAAAAATAAAAGCTAAGTGCAGAAATCTTTTAAAATTCTCATACAAATATAACTCAGTTGCTTAGCACGGGTTTACTTTAAGAACTGTTCTTTTACTTCTCTTTATATGAAGCATGACCACTATCTTGAAGTCTAGTTCATAAACAGCCCCGGATGCTCAGGAAGCACTGCAAAATCATCCATGTAAAATATTGTTTCATTTCACAATTACATAGCAATAGTCATCTTTTTTCCATTCACATAGATAACAGCAGTCCACAGCAGTTGTCTGCACTCAGTAGAAACTTTAGTAAAGTTAAATTCCGACAGAGATGCATTCTATTCGCTCTCTGTTTTGCTGTATTCTTTTGAGAACTGCACAGAGCACACCCCGGCCCACTCTGGGCATCTCCTCCCTCCACTGAGATCTCCTCACTCCAGCTTCCTTGCTTACCCATAGAAAAGCCAGCGAGGAAGGAAGCCAGCAACGCAGCAATGCAAATCGCCAGATCTCTGTGATGCCTAGTCCTTGCCATGCTGTCCTGGGCCCGGGAGCGCCGAGGACTGCAACCGCAAGGCTGAGGGCTGCAGATGGAAAGTGATGGTGAGCAGGGGACTTTGTACAAAGATCCGAAGACTTAACGAAACTAAAAGGCGACTGGAAGCCTGCTCAGTCAGCTTGCAGTGAAAGGCAGGACAGCGCAGCTGGGGGTGGGGGTGGGGATGAGGGATGGGAGTGGGGGTGGGGCTGCTTCAAAGAGACTAACCAGAGCCTTTGTCAACTGCATCCCAAAAAGAGCTTTTTCATTGCAAATCTCACTGAAGGCTTCCTTACTCAGCTTTTAGGACCTAGTGTGTCCTGGACTGCAAGTTGGAGCCTCAACCCTGTAACAACAAATCCTAGAGACTGAGACATAATACCCCCCCGCGACCCCACGCGACCCCCCCCCGCGACCCCCCTCCCCCGCCAATGCCTATCTGAACAGATACTCCACATTCCTGTGCTTCTGTAGCAGAAGTTTTCATACACCACACTGGAATATTGTAGTTGCAAATGAACAAAATTCACCGTTGCAAGAGTCTTTACTGCCACTATTACTGGCAGTAAATTCTAAATGCAGTTTCTACCCTTGTCCCGTTAAACTTTTTGTTGTTGCTGTTTTGCTTCTTATTTTTGTTGTTATTTTTTCAAGACGGGGGCTCTCTGTATAGCGGTCTGTAGACCTGAAACTATCTCTGTAGACCAAACTGGCTTTGAACTCATGGAGACCCGCCTACCTCTGCTGGGATAAAAGGCCTGCACCACCACCACCGGGCCCTGTTAAACTTAAAAAGCATTTCCCTTCAAAAGTGTTTAGAAAGTTCGCAAAATAGCTGATCTTGCAAATAGAATTCGTGTCTCCATCTCACTGAAAGAGAACATCTCACAAGTAATAGTTGACTTTTCATCCCTAACTATAAACATATTTGTAGCCAAATCACATCCCCTAGTGGACTCGGAAGGTAATAACATCTCTACGATAAAACACCCAGCCTCTCTCCACATCCTGGACACTATGGGTAACACACCTTACTTCCAGCAAGTTGCTTAAAGTCCCTAATGTGTTTTTCTTGGGTGCCATTATTGGTTACTGTATCAAATGGTTTTTTAGAATATTGGTCAGTCCCCATTTATTAAGGAGTTGTGTCACATGACACACATCCTTCGGAGGATGTGATACTTGCCATTACAAGACCTATGATGAACTGATAAGGTAAACATTGGATAAATGATTCCATATAACAAGTTCAAAGAGAAAGCAGTATTACCTCCAATATGACCGACGCCGGTGCCCTATCAGGCGGCATCTGCAGCCTGAGTCGTGAAAATCCATTGTGAAAAGTGTGGTTGGCTGGCTCCAGAGTCTTTGGCCTTTTATTTCTGTGGAATCTGTAAGCATTCAGAATTTCTGCACCATTACAAGTATCACAGAAGGCTCGTGTTAAGTGAGCTTTCTAATAATTAGATAGTTGCATTTCGCAAAGCACATGTAACAGAGCAATATTATTGATCTTTGCTAACATTTTCCTTTAAATTTTATTTTAAAGCTAAGTATGTGTAGAAAAACATCCTTTGAAAATCAATTTCTCCCCAAAACTATCTGATTTACTTATTATTCAGTGAGCCTTTAAAATAAACTGTTTTCTACTTCAAGTCGAATGCTCTTTTTTTAGGTGTTTTTAAATACTAATTATTATAAACTGTTCTAATATAATAATTCTTTTTTTTTATTTAAGTCGAATGCTCTTATACGAATCCTTTTTTCTTCATCTTCTCACATCTTAGAAGCATTCTTATAGCTCCAAAGTCAAGTCACTTCAACTGGCTTATGGCTAATCTGTTGAAAATTGTGAGATAGAGCTAAACGTTGTAGCACACACTTCTAATCCCCAAACTTAAGAGGTTAAGGAGATTTACCTCAAAAAGTTTGAAGACATCCTGAACTACGCAATGAATTCCAAGCTAGCCTGAAATGCATGGGCTCTATTTTTTAAAACAAAAATAAACAACACCAATGTGAAATGCGTACTAATAAAGCAATGTATATATAAATTTAATAATATTTTAATAATTACCTGTTAAAAAGGGTTCAGTGACTAGATATTTGTCACATCTACATTCTCAACAGTGGCTATATCAAAAATTCCATCCTTTGAAAAATTAGCCTCATTCTAGATGCCCCTTTATAAGTACAGGTATTAAGACATTAATGATGTCACAAGGTAACACTACTACAGATATGATCATAGGCTACGCGATATACTCATTGAGACAGCAATGCTTACTTTCCAAAAATCAAATGGAGAGTATCTTGAGTACTGTGATTCATGAGAAGAGAGGCATTCCAGTTGATCATTTCTTCTAAGATTCTGGGCACAGTTTTCATTACAAATATAAACTGAGTTGTTATGGTGTTAGCATACTGATCAGTATAAAGAAACCTGTTGGACATATGAGAGATGAAATAAAGGTAGTGAGAAAAGACTAGCATAAAGGAGAAGAAATTTAGAGTAAAAGCAGAAACCATGACTGGGTGGTTTTCTTCTGATGTCACAATTACTCTACTCAACAATAAATGTAGAAATTAGGGAACAGCCACCTATTTCAAGTGGACTTGGAGGTCCCCTGCCTCATGGCTCCTCTTAAGCAGACATTCCAGTTAGAAACAGAATACTGGTAAGTTACATACACTGGCTTTTAACCCAGATCTTCCTACTTAGCATTGTTCCTCTCTCGTCATTAACATACACATTCAGCTTGTTACCCGTGACACTTTGCCAGCATTAAGTATTCTGGTGTCTTTTCTTTCTGTATTCTCAACTTTCACTCCATAACATTTGTTCCTCCGTGCCACTACATCCTCTCTTTTCCTGATACCCATTTTCATTTGATGATACCATTTCCTGAGATCTAGCTAAGCAGCCATTTTCTCTTCCTGCCATCCTTCATCAGCGGCCAAAAGGGAACACAGCTGTTGGTCTGCTGCTATGCTCTGCTCTGCAGTCTCTTCTGAAATCACGTTTGTATTCAGCTGCTTCCTGCCAGCTGAGTACCTACTACCCTTTCTGCTGGTGCAAATGGCTGTCCTTTAAATATTGTGTTCACCTCATCATTGACTACTCAGTTTCTTTCACATCCCACATCCAAAACTTCAGACAACCGCAATGATTCTGCAGTGCACACACAGCTGCTTTCCACCTTCATCAGCATTGTTCTAGATACTGTTTTTGAAATATATATATATATATATACATATTTAAAATACATATATGTACACACACATACACACATATATTTGACTTAAGGCAATGTTCTTCTAAAGCAACGGTCAGATCACTCCAAAGCTTCTCTTTAAATTTAAAAACAAAATTCAGACATGTTACAGAGGCCACCAAAGTCGACATTATCTAGTTTTAAACTTCACCTCCCTTCATGGGAAAACTTCATCAAGGAGATAGATGTAAAACCAAGAAATGTGGACTAGGCAACCCCCATGCCAACAGATTACTATCATCACAAAGGAACCAGTGAAGGCCCAATGGAGCCACCCTTTCCTGGTGATGGTATCAGTCTGCATGCCTTCAGGTGAAAAGACCGAGTGATACAGTAAATGACCAAGAGAGTCTCCAGCTCTTCTTTAACAGTATTTTCCCCAGGATTCCCCAACGAAAGGCAAAGTACAAAGAGAGAGAGAGTACCTAACAATTTTATAATGAAGATGATTGTTAGAAAAGTTAAAGGATTCTGTACTTTTATTCCACTGAATTAAAAAGTCTTTATTAAATCGTTATTCCCCATGACCAACTAGATTGGCTGAGAATAGCCTACTTAGCTTAATAAGAGTTTAAACTTTGTTCTCCCAGATACAATAATCACACCCTATTTTCTTGAATTGCGTCTCCAATAATAGGATTAAATGTTAATTCCATCCTTAAGCCATAAACTACCTGAGAAAGACTTTCAGAGACTTGCTAGTCTTTTTCAGTATATACCTACTGTGAAGAATAATTCCTCTTTTCTCAGAACCAGGCAGGCTTGTTCAACAGCAAATGAGAAAAGGAACTTTTTTTGTTTGTTTTTCGAGACAAGGTTTCTCTGTATTGGTTTTGAGCCTGTCCTGGCACTCACTCTGTAGACCAGGCTGGCCTTCAGCTCACAGAGATCTGCCTGCCTCTGCCTCTTGAGTACTGGGGATTAAAGGCATGTGCCACCAACGCCCGTGGAGAAAAGGAACTTTTCTGGGTTTGACCTTGAAAAGTAAGTGGTAAAGGGAGAGAAGGAGTAGGAGGGTCACGGTAGAGTCCAACAAATTGGGCTATAGCTGAGTCCATCAGTGCTTTCTAACCTTTACAAAAATCACATCTGTTCCAAGATATCTATCCTAAGCTCCAAAATAAGTAATCTATCTTCAACAAAACTAAATACATAGGTGTTTAAAATGTGTATATTCTAGCTGGGCATTGGTGGCACATGCCTTTAATCCCCAGTACTCATGAGGCAGAGGCAGGCTTATCTCTGTTAGAAGACAGCCTGGTCTACAGAGCTAGTTCCAGGACAGGTTCCAAAGCAATACAGAAAAACCCTGTCTCCAAAAACTAAAATAAATAAATAAATGAAATAAAATTTGTATATTCTAAATATAGAAAATTGGATTTCAATGTGATATTTGAAATCATGGATTAGTCAGGAATCCCTAAAGGAACAGGACTGATAAAGTGACTGTGCAATTAGCAGGGAACTTATTAGATTGTGTTATAAGACATGGTCTGAGTTGCCTGACAATGGCTGGCTCATAACCAGAAGGCTGAGAACCCATGAGGCTAGATGTCTGTGCAGTGCAGATATGGCCCTGGAGTCCTGGAGGATTCCTGGAAAGCTGCTTGTCTTCAGTCTATGTGGAATCCGGATGAAGTAAGATGTAATATTGGCTATAGCAATAAGACAGACAAAATTCCCAGCATGAGTGAGGCTAAGTAAGCAAAAAGCAAAAGTTTCTTCCATATCCTTTTATGTGGTTCACACTTAGAATCTTCCCCCTTGAAATGATCTGATTGGGAAAATTTCTTACTCAACCAGGAATGGTGACACTTACCTTTAATTCCAGCACATGGGAGGCAGAGACAAGTAGACTTCTGAAAATTGGAGGCCAGCCTGGTTTACATAGTAAGTTCCAGGACAGCCAGAGCCACATAACAGAGAGACCCTATTTCATTGAGGGGGAGAGAGAGAGAGAGACAGACAGACAGGCAGAGAGAAAGTGACAGAGAGAATTCCTTACTGGAGTGCCTAGGAGCTTAGATGTTAGATGAACCAAGATTTGCCATCACAACAAGTTTCTGTGAATTAATTAACACGTCATCAATGGCAATGTTAATGATGAGTCCTGCTTCATCCATACAAAACAGCAAAACAGTCATGAGAACTAAAATAACACTCAAGGAAAATCCAGTGTGCTAAGGGAGGAGATTATGAAAGTTAATTAAATCATGCTAACACTCCTCCTTAGGGTGGGGCTTCTAGATCTCTCATATAAAGGCTGTTCAACTTGGAGATGAGCTCAGTTTTGAGGCTGTGGAAGGTGGTTACACTGTGGTTACCTTCGAGAGTCACAGCCACTGTGTAGAAAGTCAAGAAGACACAGTCCTGAAGCAAAAGGACAGACTTTCCTGCAAGCATTGATGAGGCCATAGGATCTAAAGGTGAACTGACTTATATTCTCTGATTTCAGAGTTTCTCAAATAGATGCATTGGTTATAATTAATAAAGAAGATGTCGTTATTTTCAGTTTCCTGTAGAGCTATGTCTCTACTTAGATTCAGCTAATCTTATAATCAATTTTATTTGTAGAGAAATTTTTAACTATCATTTTTATGTTATACTTAAAAATAATTCTCAGTGTTATTCTCAAGTATCTAGAAGTTACTCCCAAGATTTATCTCAAGGATAAGTCCTCTTGTTGGTTGCCCAACCCAGAAACTATATATGCACAAAAAACAAATGACTCAGCATATTGCATACAATTTGGCTTATATAAGGTTCACTGCACATTTTTGAAAAAATAATGAGAATATTCAGACTGATCTGTTGAGCTACATTCCAGAGAAAGGACAGTATTGGTGCAAGAATAGCAACCTTCGTAAATGTTGCTACGTGTTCAAGTTTAGGTTCCAGATACTTTAAAGAAAGTTTATGAGACAGGCAATACCTTTACTGAGGCTCGTGTATGTAGCAAGAGTAGCCAAATAAAAGTGCAAATGTGGTAATGGCATGCTTGTTTGAAATCAATGCAAGACAATTCAGCTCTTACTTCCTAGTGCAGGATCCTAGAGAATATGTAAAGTCATCCTTTATTACAGATACATGTCCAAACCATGAGAATGCCACAGCTGGATGTCTAGGGAGGTCAGTGTCTTGTCTCCTGTTTTCCTCTCATTTGCTTGTAAATGATGACCATCTTGGCTTTATCCAGACACACTGGGGGTACTCTAGCAGGGAAGTCCTTTTCTTTTTAGATATTCTCTTTTTATTTTGTCTTTTTATCCCATTCCCCACAAGGCTTTGCCTGCCTGCCTACCTACCTTTTCCTTCCTTCCTTCCTTCCTTCCTTCCTTCCTTCCTTCCTTCCTTCTTCCTCTCTCTCTCTGCATCTAAACTTCTCCTTCTCAGTGCTTATTTTACACACACACACACACACACACACACACGTATGTATGTATGTATGTATGTATGTATGTATGTATCACTATATAGCCCTGGTTGTCCTAGAATTTGAGATGTACACCAGGCTGCTTCTGAATTTACAGAATCTGCCTCCCTGGTTCTGGGAATAAAAGTGTATACACCATGACCCACTTCATTTCCTCATTTTTCAAGTAAGCTCTGGTAATATTTGGAAAAGGAGGCTGAAGCATATATTACACATAAGGTCAAAAAACTTATATTTCAAAGGGAGAAATTACCCATTTATATCTGTAATAATAAATTAATTGTGTAAGAAACATGTTACAAGTGATACCTGATTTGTTTTTGTAAATTCCATGACTAAAGCCTAGCATTCTTTTTATTTCTCCTCAGAAGTACAGATTCACACAAACTGTGGAATTCAGAGACTGTACTAGTGTGTGTGTTCGTCTAAGCAGTTGGAGCTACTGTTGAGGTGTTCGCAAACTGAAACTATTAGTGGGCATTGAACCTAAGCTAGTAATGCCATCATTTGATAAACAACACCATTGGTCCGAAAGAGACATTATGAAGTTACTGGAATGCATCAAAAATAATGTACCCTCGGACGACTCCCAACCATTCAGAAAAACCCAGGAAGATCTAGACTGGGACAAAGTGGCTTTTAAACATTTTTCGGGAGAAATGTGCAAGCAAAAGTGGATGCAGATTTCTCATAATTTGAGGAAGTTCCGCACACTGTCAGAATTAGTGCTGGAAGCCTCCAAACTTATTAAAGAACCTCCCAAAAGTAAGACAGTCAAGAAACATCCCGACTTCCCCAAAAGACCCCTGACTGCCTATTTGCGCTTTTACAAGGAACAGCGGGCCAAGTACTGTGAGATGTACCCTAAGTACAACAACCTGCAGCTGACCAAAATCCTGGCTGAGAAATACAATCAGCTGCCAGAAGAGATCAAGCAGAAATATATTCAGGAATTCCAGAAGGATAAACAAGTCTTTCGGGAAAAAGTGAATAAATTCAGGGAAAACCACCCTGATATAGAGCGTTCTAAGAAGTCTGTGGTGCCCAGGAACAACCAAGCCAAAGTCCGGAAGAAATCACAAGGAGGTACAGAAAACATGAAGTCCACTCTTAAAACAGAATTTCCCAAAACATTTCCTCCAGTGATGAAATTTCAGGGTGAACCCAAGAAACCGCCTATGAATGGATATCACAAATTTCATCAAGATTCATGGTCAAGTCTGTGCTATCTATCCCTTAGGGAGCGTCAGATTGAGATTAGCAGACGATGGCAGCAAGTCCCAGAGAGCCTGAGAAAGCGTTATAACAGCCAGGCTGAAGAGCTACAGAAACAATACTGGGTGGACATGGACCTCTGGCTCAAGGGATTGTCAGCAGAGGAATATGCTGCATACAAAGAGGCACAGGCCACCTATGGTAAGGGCAAGAACTTTGGCATGTCTAGAGGCACAGGCCCCAAGTGTCCTACAAAAGATTCCCCAACGACTATTCCGGGCCACGTTGGTGACTCCCAGGCATTCACGCAGGATATGATGGAAGATGGCAAAGAGGAAGACTCCAGCAGCTCCTCAGACTCTAGCAGTACAGATGAAGATGAAGATGATGGACATCTTTCTTAGCCGAATGCTCAGATTTAGACTCCATTTTAGTCACTTGCATACTCTAAATTATCGTTTGAAACCTAGAGCATCCCTGTCAGAGAGGGAGCTGTTGTACTCCCTACTCCCCTGTTTTTTCCTGGGAATCCTTCCTTTGCTTACTAAATACAAAGGAATACAGTTTGGGGAGAAGGGAGTTAGCCATAGTATTGCCTTTATCAGGTCCATAGGCGTAGGAAAGCCCACTTGAGACAGTAGCTAGAAGCTATTTACATTTTATTTGGACAAACTATAGAACAAGTTTTACAAAGTTAGATACTGTGCATACAAGTGGTATCAGTTAATTCTGGGAAGGACTCTTAGGCCTTGCTGTTTCAAACAATGAATCTCACCTGCGATATTCAAGATAAGTAGAAACATAGACAGATACAGATACTCTATTCTCTGGCCTTATGTAATGTCATTAATACAATCATCAGTACCACAGTACTGTAATTATTTTGCTTAGTGGCATTTTAAATATATTTAATGTTACTTATTTTGCTTCTGAACAGTCTATGTTCTTTTCATAAATATTAGCTTTATAGAAATTGTTTAAAACCATTGAAAATTTTAAATTTGTACATTATTTATTTTGGTTCACATATAAATTGTAAAACTTGTACATATTAATAGAGTACTGGGATGTTTTTTATAAATACTTATAATGTATAATATTTAAATCTGGTTAAATATATGCATCTTTTCAAAATTTGAATTTAAGGCAAAATTTGCTGAATAATTTCCTTTTGAAATTTACAGTGGATTATCATCCTTATCTTAGTGAATAACTGTTTATGTATTATTCCAAAAAATTATTTTGGTGCATATTTTGTAATATTTACAATTGTGTACCTCTCTCTTATTTGTTTATGTATGCTTTTAAAGATGTATCAAATGAAACAATGTGAAAAGATAGTAGTGATAAATTTGTATCCTTAAAAACTTTTTATCTAAAACTTACAGGATTTGCTACTGTGAAACTGTGTTGATATATGAATTTGAATTAAATTGTAGCATGTTGCCAGAAGTGGATATTTACTTACACAATTAAACAACTTTAATGAAGGATATTTATTAATTTTATCTTATCTTTAATCATGTACTGGTGGAATTTTTCTATAGTGTAACCCTCAAGCTCTCTAGAGATACATGGAAAGTACTGCTATTTCTTCTACTTTTTGGGTCACACACAAAAAAATGGTCTATTTAGTCACCATTTTCCATTTTTATTGGTCTTGGATCTTCAATCTGGGAAAGAAAAAAATTCTGAAATACTAAAATGGAGAGATGAAAAGCATGCAGGATCCATACAACATTTTTTTAAAAATTTTATTAATTATTTTACATATCAATCCAAGTTCCCTCTCCCTCAACCCCTCCCATCATTCCATCCCCGACTCCACTCCACAGGGAGGGTGATGCCTTCCATAACGGGTCAACAAAATCTGTCAAGTCATTTGGAGTAGGGACTAGGCCCTCCTTCCTGCCTCCCTCCATGGGGAATGCGCTCCCAAAGTCTTTCATGCACCAGGGATACATCCTGTTTCCACTGTCAGAGGTCCCTTAGTCTGCCCAGGCCTTCTGAGACCCATATCCAGGGGGTCTGAATCAGTCCAATGCTGGTTTCCCAGCTATCAGGCTGGGGGATCCATTAGCTCCTCCTTTTTCAGGTCAGCTGTCTCTGTGAGTTTGTGTAACCTGGTCTTGCCCCCATTTTCTTATCACTCCTCCCTCCCTGCACCTGGATTCTGGAAGTTTGGCTCAGTGTTTAGCTATGGATGTCTGTTTCTTTTTCCATCAGCTACTAGATAAGGGTTCCCTGAGGGTGGACAAGTTAGTCATTGATCTCATCAGGGAAGGGCATTTAAGGTAGCCTCTCCACTGTTGCTCAGATTGTTAGTTGGGGTCATACTTGAAGGTCTCAACATTTCTCTAGAGTCAGTTTTCTCTTCAAACCTATAATGGCTCCCTCTTTTATGGTATCTCTCTCTCTTTTTCAATGCCCTTCCTCACACTCCCAACATGCTCAGGAGATCTTGTTCCTTTCTCCTTCTGTGAGGGACCTTGTATGAATCTCTTAGGTTCCTCCTTGTATCCTAGTTTCTCTGTTCGTGTGTATTACAGGCTGTGTCTAAAATCCATATATGAGTGAGTACATACCATGTTCCTCTTTTTATGACTAGGTTACTTCACTCAGGATGGTTTCTTCATGTTCCATCCATTTGTCTGCAAATTTCAAGATTCCATTGGTTTTTTTTTTTTTTCTACTGAGCAGTATTCCATTGTATAAATGTGCCACATCTTCTTTATCCACTCTCCTGTTGAGGGGCATATAGGTTGCTTCCAGGTTCTTGCTATTACAAATAATGCTGCTATGAACATAGTTGAGCACATGTCTTTGTTGTATGGATGTGGATCATTTCTGTATATGCCTAAGAGGGGTATTGCCGGGTCCTGTGGTAAACTAATTCCCATTTTCCTGAGGAACCGCCATTTTGATCTCCAAAATGGCTGTACAAATTTTCACTCCCACCAGCAGTGGAGGAGTGTTCCCCTTTATCCACATCCTGTCCAGGATAAATTGTTATTGGTGTTTCTAATTTTAGCCACTTTGGCAAGAGTAAGATGGTATCTTAGAGTTGATCTGATTTGCATTTCCCTGATAGCTAAGGATGTTGAGCACTTTAAGTGTCTTTCAGCCATTTTGGATTCCTCTTTTGAGAATTCAGTTCTGTACTCCATTTTTTATTAGGGTTATTTGGTATTTTGGTGACTAGTTTCTTGAGTTCTTTGTATAGTTGGAGATAAGCCCTCTGTCAGTTGTGGAGTTGGTGAAGATCTTTTCCCAGTCTGTGAGCTGCAATTTGATCTTGTGGACTGTGTCCTTTGCTTGACACTTCTCAGTGTCAAGGGGTCCCATTTATTAATTGTATATCTTACTGTCTGTGCTACTGGTGTTATGTTTAGGAAACAGTCTCCTGTACCAATTTGTCCAAGGGTACCTCCCACTTTTTCTTTAAGAGGTTCATGTGGCTGAATTTATGTTGAGGTCTTTGATCCATTTGGACTTGAGTTTTGTGCATGGCAATAGACACAGGTCTATCTGCAGTCTTCTACACACCCTCATCCAATTGTGCCAGCACCATTTGTTGAAGATGCTGTCTTTGCCCCATTGTATAATTTTAGCTGTTTTGTCGAAAATCAGGTGTTCATAGGTGCGTGGATTAATATCAGTCTTCTACACACCATCATCCAGTTGTGCCAACCCATTTGTTGAAGATGTTTTCCTACTTCATACAACATTTTTGTAACAGACATTCCTGTAAAATATGGGAACAAAATTTTGTTGTCAAATGGAAGTTACTATCTCTTATAATAGAATTAAGGCACTTATGGTCCTAAGATTAGAAAAAAGTGGAGATGGTCTAGAGTTTTGTAGATTTGGTTTAGGCTATTTGAATTTATAGGAAAGGTCATTAATAATGCACAAAACCCAGATTCATGTTATTCTGATATCGTGGACTGATTTCATTATTTGAATTGATCAGTAGCCAATAAATCAGGGAACATTAGGACATTTTAAAGTATGCCCTCAATAGTTGTGTGAGCCTAGTGGACCCTGGTTTAACCTTACTGTACTCCCATGCACAGAACTTCTGGAACCACTCTACAATCTCAGTTATCAAAAAGACAGGTAGAAGAGATCTGGGTTTGGTGGCATAGATCGTTAATCTCACAATTTAGAAAGCAGAAAGAGGTGAGTTTCTTTGAGTTCAAGATCAGCTTGGTTTTCAGAGCAAGAATCAGTCTAGCTTCCACAGAGTAAGGATTCTCTAAAGGAACAGAAATGAGAGGATGAATCTAAATATATTTAAAAGGACTTTATTTATTTATTTGGGTTTTTGAGACAAGGTTTCTCTGTGTAGTACTGGCTGTCATGGAATTCATTTTTGTAAACAAGGCTGGTTTCAAACTCAGATCACCCTGACTCTGCTTCCCAAGTGCTGGAATTAAAGGTGTGTATCACCATGTCCAGTTTAAGAGGGAATTTATCAGCATGACTTACTGTCTGTGGTCTGGCTAAGCCAATAGCTGTCTCCCAATAGAAAGGTAAAAAAATACAGTAGTTGTCCAGTCCCTGAGGGTGAATGCCTTTGCTGATCCTCAGTATTCATTGCAGTTCTGAAGAAGTAGGCTCTAACACTAGCTAAGCAATAGATGAGCTTGCCAATGATGGTGAGGGAAATCAGGAAAAAAGTAAAAGCTTTCCTCAATGTCTTTTTATGTATAGTTCCAACAGAAGGTGTGTTTCACATGTAGGGTTGGTCTTACAACCTCAAACAATTCCTTAAAGAATAATCCGTCACCGGGTGGTGGTGGCACTCACCTTTAGTTTGAGAGGCAGAGGCAGGCAGATCTCTGAATTAGAGGCCAGCCTGGTATTCAGAGCAGGTTACAGGCCAACCAGGGCTACACACAGAAACCTTTTCTTGATAAAGCCAAAAAATAAATATAGTCCATCATAGTTGTGTCCTACACTTGGGTTTTGGTTGATTCTAGATGAGGTCAAGGTTAGCCATCAGACCCTCTTTCTTAAAAAACAAAAGACAGAATTGGAAAGACAGTTTCTTAGCATTGCTTTTAGGTATAATTTGAGAGTCACTGAAATAGAATATATGGCTAATAATACTAAGGCATAACTGGCTTTTCCCTGAAAAGGCCACAACCATACTTAGATGTATAATTTTTTTCCTGAGCATCTTTCGTACTCTTAAATTCTATTCTTAAAAACAAAACAAAACAAAAAACAGTTAAACAAGACATTTAAAGACTGTTTGGGGCCGGGCATTGGTGGCACACGCCTTTTAATCTCAGCACTCAGGAGGCAGAGGCAGGCGGATCTCTGAGTTCGAGGCCAGCCTGGTATACAGGCTCCAAAGCAATACTGAGAAATCCTGTCTCCAAAAACCAAAAAAAAA